ATAGAGGAAAAAGCGAAGAGAAGGATCGATTTTGAGATGGGAACAGATATTTACAAAAGCGTTAAGAAAACGGTGGGCATTGGGCGTAAGTTGCCCGGGGAGGATCTTGAAGCAATGGCACAGCTCGACCAGAAGGGGGCGAAGGGGGAAGACGGTGCCACTCTCCAGGGAGATGATATGGAACCCTACCCTATCGTCCCGGTGAGGCTCGATGATATTGCGCCAGTTAGGGTCGTATTCAAGGACATACCCCTCCGGGAGATTCCTACGGGCTTTGTTTTGGGCAATCTTAGAGACCCGGGGGTAGATGTCAAGCGGGTAGCTGGAAGGGAGAGGAAAATAACCGGCGGCATCCAGCCGGTTCACCCATCCCTCGTACGACTCGCTGTCAGGGTCATAGGGAGCCGGTTCGTCGTCAACCGGTTCATCCCTCTCCTGAGAAACCTGACCGGGCGTCTGGTTAACAGGTTGCGGTTCAGGGAGGGTGGCGTTGGGGCCTGACCGGGTCTCGAAACTGGACAAAGAGGACCCGGTCGAAGAAGAGGAGGTTGAAGATTCCTCGGATGCGCAGGCATCCGAGGAAGAAATACCTTGACTATTAGAGGAAGACATCTACCGGGAGGAAAATCGAAGAAAGAAAGCTAATAAATGATAGGAAGAAAGCTTACTTGACTCGGAGGGCTAGGAGGCTAGAACAGAGAGAAGTTGACCGGTGAAACTCGAGAGACGCGCGAGGAAGAAGTGAGGAAGGCAGTGGGGATGGAAGCCTTTATATAGGCGAGGAGGAAGGAGAGGGAGGCGACGTGGCTTCACCAGGGCGCGCTGCGTCAGGCGGCGCCATCATTGCGCATGGGAAGACGAAAGGGCGCAGGTCTGGCGTTGTCCAGCGGGCCACACGTGTCATAACTAACACTTTGAGTTTTGAAATTCAAAAATTTCGAGCGGGAAAAGCCAGAAATTTGAATTTAAAGGTCCAGTTTTAAATTTTTACTTCCCGCTTATGACAAAATTGCATCACCGAGAAGTGGAGGACTTATTGATGGGTGTATTTCACCCACGACCGGTCAAAGGTCAGGACCGGATAGTTGACCGGTCAAAGAAGTCAAACTTTGAAGAGAGATCTGAATGGACCACCGAGTGACCAAAAAGTGGACCGGTACACTTCGGAAAGTATACCGGTCAGCTTATTCCATCAGCAGGAACCGATTCCGAAGACAATTAATCCAAGCCTTCAGAAATCAACCGGTACAACTTTTAGAGATCGAGGAGTGTCGGCAGGAGGAGTCCAAAAGGACTTGGACTTTAGTGGTTGGAATTGCAGAGATCCTGGAGGAATATTTCCAAGCTAGAACGTGACAAGGAGGGAAATCCCCTTCGCAAGATGACAAGGCGGCTCAGGGACAGCCATCTCGCACCACGTCAGCAACGTGCCCCCACGTGGGCGCACATGGACCTGTCCCCCCAGCTTAGTATATATACCCATTGTAAATCTCAGAAAGGGGATCCGAATTCATTCTCTCTAAACTCCCTTGTAAAAGCACCCGTGCATTCTCCGTTATAATATAAATTGGGTTACAGGTGTTCCACCTAAAATCCTACCGGTCAATCTACGAGTTTTTACCTCTCTTACCTTGCCAAATCAAGCAAACTATTCTAGACTCGGTCTATTATAGTTTGACCGGTCAAGTAATTTACACCATCAACAGGCGTATAATGTTTCATCTACAAATTTGACAGAGTAGTTTTTGCGATTCTAGAAGCATCCAGGCCTCTCTCCTTAAACCCCTCTCTTCTTCACACCAATGCGTTTCGCACTTTTAAACACTCTCCGGTCTTCATCTCCATCATCTTCCGGTTAAACCCTACCCACTCATAAGCACAAACTCACAGACACAACGCCAGCAAGAAAACTCCCCAAATTCGAGCAGAATGGCCCCCGTGATAAGCCGGACTTTGGCTTCCGTTACGGCGCTGCCATCTCCGCCGTCGTTTGCCCAGAAGTCTCCGAGTGCCAATAGGGTGGCCTTGAGAGGCGCTTTCTTACCCAGAAATGGAAACAAGAACAAGGGAGCGTCTAGCTCCGGGCTGAAGTGGAAGATCGGGAGGAGAGATAGCGTAACGGTTGTGAGGTGTGAAGCATCGGCCGTGGCTGAAATGGAAGCTCCCGAGATTTCTGGGGAGACCCATGAGTACCAGGCTGAGGTGAGGCTTCAAAGTCTTCTCTTTTCTTTTTCTGTATATCAAGAATTTAAGATTGAAATTTGGGTTCATGTTCTTTTGTTGCTGTATATCATTTGGCCGTGCCATTTACTTGGAGATGTTGAGTTTCAGCATTGAAAGATTGAAACTTTATTGATTGCAGGTTAGCCGCTTGATGGACTTGATAGTTCACAGTCTTTACAGCCACAAAGAAGTCTTTCTTCGCGAACTTGTCAGGTTAACTATACACTTGTCCTTTGTTTTGCTGGTTTGCTGAATGCAAATACACATTACTTTTGATTTGTGAATGCTGAAGTTGTATTACCATTTTTCGTATGTTTAAAAAGGAAAATTTTTCTGTTCATGATACAATATGTATGAACTGCAGTAATGCAAGTGATGCACTTGACAAGCTAAGGTTTTTGAGTGTGACTGATCCTTCTCTACTTGGTGATGCTGCTGAGCTTGAGATTCGCATTAAACCCGACCCTGACAATGGGACCATCAGCATAATGTATGTGTTCTAGAATCATTTTTGATTTGCCAACTATTGGTTGCTTGGTTCGATGTATAAGTGTTTCATTCCATTTCTTCTTGTAGTGATACTGGAATAGGGATGACTAAGGAAGAGCTAATTGACTGTCTTGGAACCATCGCACAAAGTGGTACTAAGAAGTTTTTGACTGCTCTCAAGGTAATTCCTGATAATCAAACAAATCTAATGTTTTCTGAATATTATTGATCTTACTTTTATGATAATCTCTTTCTTCTCATAACTGCAGGAGAATAAGGACCTTGCATCAAATAATGGATTGATTGGTCAATTTGGTGTTGGATTTTATTCTGCTTTCTTGGTTGCTCAAAAGGTGGAGTGGTTGTTCTATATATTTGCATGGTTGCTCCCCAAATATAAAACACTACTGAATTGCAATCATTTCTTTGTGATTAGGTTGTTGTTTCCACAAAGAGCCCTAGGTCAGACAAGCAATATGTTTGGGAATCTGTTGCTGACAGCAGCTCATACACCATCAAGGAAGAAACTGACCCTGAAAAGCTCCTAACTAGGGGGACACAAATTACTCTTTATCTGAGGGTACTTATCATCCCTGTGATTCCAAAAATTTATGCTTTTATAATTTTTATCAAATACGTAGTATGGGTTGTTTCAAGTAAAATTTCATATTCCCATGCTTATATAGTTTTGATATCTGTTTTCATTTATTAATTTGTGTTATCTATTAACAGATATTATTAACAGCGGTTTCCTATTGGCATCTTGGTTTAAAAACATTCAAATAAGCAATATTCTAAAAGCATTGGACTCTGAAATCAATTTTTTGATATGATGATGCAATGTTATCTGCAACCTGAACAGGAAGATGACAAGTATGAGTTCTCAGATCCAAAAAAGATCCTAGATTTGGTGAAGACTTACTCACAATTTGTTTCATTCCCCATCTACACTTGGCAAGAGAAGTCAAGAATTGTTGATGTGAGTATTGCTTATATAGCTAAAAAACTATTTTCTTTATTAATTTTATTGTGACCTAAGACCAAGATATGGAGTTATGTGTCAGGTGGAAGAAGAGGAATCAAAAGAGGGAGAAGAAAAGACTGATGTAAGTAACTTCTCTGAGTAATGCTGATTTTTTCTTTTTAAAATAATACACTGATCAATTTTTTCAATTACTCTCTGAATTACAGGAAGAGAAGAAAAAGGCCCAAAAGACCAAATCAGAGAAATATTGGGACTGGGAACTAACAAATGACACTAAGCCAATATGGGCAAGTTTCATTTTTCTACTTCGTATTTGGAAATCACAAAAATTTCAGTATTTTGATCTATTAATTTGAATTTTTAAAACTTTTGATCAATATGTTATATGTAACTATTATATGCAGATGCGCAATCCAAAGGAAGTTGAGAAAGAACAATACTGGGAGTTCTATAAGAATACGTTTAATGAGTTCTTGGATCCAATTGCTTATACTCATTTCAGCACAGAGGTTCACCACACTCGTCCAAGGCGTTTTTAACGTTGATTGTTTCAAATATACTCTGTTGTTTCTTCTGTGTGTCACTTTAACAGAATAATTTGTGCAGGGAGAGGTGGAGTTTAGAAGTGTCCTTTATATACCTGGGATGGCACCTCTGAATAATGAAGATGTTGTGAACACAAAGACAAAGAACATACGGATGTATGTCAAACGCGTGTTCATTTCAGATGATTTTGATGGAGAATTGGTGAGTTGTGACATGAAGTAGACTGCTCTTGTTTGGATTTCACATGGAACTTTAACATTTTGGCCTTAAATATGTAACAAATATGAAGACTTATTTGTAAACATAAGACGATCTTTCATTTTCCGAGTTCTACACCAACCTTTTGAATCCAGGCTTACACTATAATAAAATGTTTGCTTTTTATACGTATGACATAGTTCTATTTCACTGGTTTGCAGTTCCCAAGATACCTGAGCTTTGTAAAAGGTGTGGTGGACTCTGATGACCTCCCACTAAATGTTTCTCGAGAAATTCTACAGGAAAGCCGAATTGTAAGATGAAGCATCCATTTGCTTTTTATACATATGACATAATGAATCTTCTTTCATTGTATTATTTGTATCTGACTTTTTTTTATGTCATACAGGTAAGGATAATGAGAAAGAGACTTGTTAGGAAAACATTTGACATGATTCAAGATCTGTCTGAAAGTGAGAACAAAGAGGTTAGCAATCTGGGTTTATACATTATTGTCTTCCCTATTTCTGTATTGTCGATTTCATTCAAGTAAAGATGCTATTCCCATTCAGGGCTACAAAAAATTCTGGGAGAATTTCGGAAAATTTTTGAAATTAGGATGTGTTGAAGACAGTGGGAATCACAAGCGCATTACACCATTACTTCGTTTTTTTTCTTCCAAACATGAAGAGGAGTTAATCAGTCTAGATAGTTATGTTGAGAACATGGCAGAGAATCAGAAAGCTATCTACTATTTGGCCACTGACAGCTTAAAAAGTGCCAAGAATGCTCCCTTTTTGGAGAAACTTGTCCAGAAGGATATTGAGGTGAGAATATTTGTTCTCTCATCCTCTCACTTTAGAAACTAGGCATAAAATGGTTTCTTGGGTTATATTTGTGTTCACATTTAGACCCTGATTGTTTCCATCAACAACAACAAACCAGTAGGATCCCACAAAAAGTATGGGGGTAAGTGCATGCAGACGTTACATCAAACATATAAAAACAAGTTTGCATTGATAAATGCAGGTTTTGTACCTTGTGGAACCAATTGACGAAGTTGCTATTCAGAATCTACAGACATACAAGGAAAAGAAGTTTGTTGATATAAGCAAGGAGGATTTGGAGTTAGGTTAGTATCTCTCATCCCCATAGTTGTCTTTGGCATTATTTTTGCTTTTGCTTTTTTACATTAAGAAAGTGCCCGTTCTGACTGAATGGTTGTTTCAGGTGAAGAGGATGAGGTGAAAGAAAGAGAAACGAAGCAAGAATACAATCTCCTCTGTGATTGGATGAAGCAGCAGTTGGGAGATAAAGTTGCAAAGGTGCAGGTTTCGAAGCGTCTGAGTTCATCTCCTTGTGTTCTTGTCTCTGGCAAGTTTGGATGGTCTGCAAACATGGAAAGGTCTGGCTTGTTACCATTGTTTATACACACACACTAGTCTTTAAAGATTTGGAATCCATTTGCTACATTCTTTTTATTTTTTTCCCCAAAACATTTGAGATTTACTATATTTTTCCTTCGTAAATACAGGTTGATGAAAGCCCAAACTCTTGGGGACACCTCTAGTTTAGAGTTCATGAGGGGAAGAAGGATATTGGAGATCAATACTGATCACCCAATTGTCAAAGACCTAAGTGTAAGTTGTTTTGCATGAAATCTACAATGATATTTTAGATGAGATGCAATGTTTCGTAGCGTCTTGGGTTTATAGTTTTGGCAATCAGCTTATTGGGCTAACTGAGCTATTTGGCTGTGGTCAAACAACTATTAGAGGTGTTCGATTAATTGTATTCTGTCTCCAAATCAACCTGACACTTAAGAATGGTGTTTGCTCATTCCTTTCAACAGGCTGCATGCAAGAACGCACCTGAGAGCGATGAAGCCAAGAGAGCCGTGGATCTGTTGTACGAGTCTGCTTTGATCTCTAGTGGCTTCACTGTATGTTTCTTCTTCAATTCTCTCCATCTGTGGAAAAGATTAAATTGATTATTTAGTAGTAGTAGTAGCCGGGTTATTTTGACATGAAGGGCCAGCGTCATAATTTGACACTAGTTCATTTGGGGGTCATATAGTGTTTCGTTGAACCCCAAAGCGGTTTCTATCCCCCACTAGCCCGTCCCCGATTTGGGTGACAATCCACTCTCCATTTTGCTCAAANGGGGGGGGTTGAGGTAGGAACCACTACTGGGTTGAGTTGGTAATTACTTGTGGGGTTGGTTATTCATTCGTCGCTTTGGATTGGATTCAGCCGGACAATCCAGCTGAGTTGGGGAACAAGATATACGAGATGATGGCAATGGCTCTTGGAGGAAGATGGGGCAGATCTGATGAGGCACCCGAAGAAGAAGAGGCTTCTTCAAGGGACGACCCCTCGGGCCCACAGGAAATCGTCGAGCCGTCTGAAGTAAGAACTGAGAGTGACCCTTGGAGTGAATGAGCTGAGTGAGTGATTCTCTTATGTTTTTTCCCCTTAATGGAGAGGAGTTTTGTATTGTAACTTGTAAGGCTCTTCTTATGGGTCACAATCTCTCATAGATTTTATGGGTGTATTTGAGATTATTTTTTCCAAGTCTTTGTTTTTTTATTGAAATATATTGACATTGACACCATAAGTTGACACCACTAGTGAGTGTTTGGCAGATAATAATTTTTGACATTTAATTACTGTCTATGCGAAAAATAGTAATCCTTGTTGGCAAGTTTTACATTATTCTAGCATTATTGTTTATAGAAAGGGATATGAAATCCTACTCTATATAAAAAGAAAATAAAATACTATATGTTGTTTTTGCCACTCATTTAACATGTCAAGACAAACACTGGGAAAGTTGCAATTTATAAGTACAAGGTATTTACCTTTCATTTTAAGAAAACTCATTCAGCTTTTCAATAATTTCTCTCTACTAATAATTTATCTCTCTACCATTTTTCCAATTATGTTCCATGCCATTTCTTCACGTTCCACCAAGTGAGCAGTTTGGAGACACTTTGGAACTAGCTTTTGAAGACAGAAAAGTATTCTTCATTTTTTGTGAGACATAAATAGTAAAAAATGTTATGGAATTTAACATTTTTGTACACACACATGTATGTATGTATATACATTGTATATATACATATATGTGTGTGTGTGTGTGTTCGGGTCAAAATCAACTTGAGAGGTGTAATTGAAGGGGGTGAGGGCGTGTTCGGGTCAGGGTGGGGTGGGAGGTTTACCGGGGGTTAGGGGGGATAGGAACCGTCAATTTTAAGAACGGAGCACCGAAGCATCTCCGGATCATCCTATGACATTAGTTCCCAATGTCATGGGAACCGGCCTCTTATCTGATTTTATTTCTCCCACCTATAAAATCACTTGCACCTATTATAGTTCATATAATTCACAAAATAAATATGAGTCATATTCCATTCCATTCACACATTTATAGGACAATTTTTTTTTTGTATCTTAACTCTCTTAAATGTATTTTCTCGAAATAGACATCTTTTGTTTGTCCTAACTATCTTGGATTTACTATATTTGATTTTATAATTCCATAATGATACATTAGTCCCATATATACTATAGCTCTCACCAATCATACCCACCGTATAATTCACAAAATAGGTACACATATTTCACCGGGACAATTTTTTTTTGTCCTGACTCTCCTAAATGTATTTAAATTTTATTACTCCATAATAAATTTAAACAATCCCACATGTCAATATGTCATACACTTAATATAATACACAACGACATATTCCACTCCATTCAGGTTTGACACTTATAGGACAACTATTTTGTAATAATTTTCTTAAATGTATTAGATTTTATTAGTCTATGATACATTTAAATAACCCCACCTATCATATAGTCTGTATAATTTACATGTAAGTAGACAAGGCTTACAATATTCCATAGTACTTTTGATACCTATTGTCTAGGCTCTTCTACGCAGTGAGTACATAGATTAGTTGTTCAGTAGATTTTTCATAAATTGCTATGTAGTACATGCATTGCACCCCCACTCTCAAAAGTATTGAAAAATGCTTTTCAATAATGGGAGGCTCATTTTTTATACATAAAGGACATGATACAAAATTGTTTATTTGTCCTAATTTTTCCATACTGATCACAAATTCTTATGTGATCTTAAGGTCCACATTTGTTTAAGGACCTTAATACATAATCACCATGATAGAGTTGAGGTTTTTATAAAACAAAAAAGACTCACTTGTAGTACATGAAAAATGTGAAAAGATTCATATTTTAAAATCACGAACATACCACTCTATAATAATAGTAGCACTGTGAATTCTTGTGATCACTATAACATTTTGTATCAATATAATTAATCAAAATGTAAATGTAAATTTTTATTTTAGGATATAAACTTTGGGATTATGGTTGACCGAGTTAACTTGACCTAGAAGTAAAGTCTAATCCCACTCCAATAACGGGTTACCCCATTTGAGTGCACGGGTCATCAAAATTCGGAGCCGGAAGAATTCGGATCCTATCCATTTTTAACAGAACATATCACATTAGGTTTTTAGAGGGGTTTTACACTGTTAAGCTTGCGGCTTCAAAGTCTGCTGCCAGTGACACTCCCGTTTTCCTTGATCTCTTCTCCACTCCATTCTTTACGGTTCAGTATGTGGAGAAATTTATCAAAGAAAGCTTCTTTAAGGAATCGTAAGTTATTCTCAGAGTTCCATCCTTCTCTATACACTTACATTTCGGGTTTTCGGTTCCCTCAATCGTCTGAGAAGATAAGAGGTGGAAGGGATGGAGAACAGACGATTCCCGTCTGCAAAGATCATCACGGTTTTGCTCAAAGATCGTTTTTTTCCGGAGGATTCGAGATGGGCATTGGAGATTTTTGTGCTTGGAGCAATTTTCCCAGGGGTTATGCTACTGCAGCCGAGGCTTTAGTTTCTTCCTCAGAGGAAGATGCTGACGAGATTCGGGAGGTGGTTGGGGAAGGTAGTGAGGATATATTGATGGAAAAGCACCAAAAACAGCCGAAGATGATTGCGGGTATGGGGATATGGAAGTATAATGCGTTGAGGAAGAGACAGATCAAGATTGAGACGGAGGCGTGGGAAGAGGCGGCAAGGGAGTATCAAGAGCTTTTGGCCGATATGTGCAACAAGAATCTGGCACCCAATCTGCCTTATGTGAAGTCGCTGTTTCTGGGCTGGTTTGAGCCTTTGAAGGCTGCCATAGCTGCAGAACAGGAGGGTTGTTTGGCAAGGAAGACCAAACAAGGCCATGTTCCGTATTTCACTCTCCTCCCTGCTGATAAGATGGCAGTCATTACAATGCACAAGTTGATGGGGCTGTTGATGGCTGGGAATGTGCGTGGAACTGCTTCAGTAGTGCAGGCTTGTTGTCATATCGGTGAAGCCATAGAGAATGAGGTGAGTGCTAGGATGCTGTTTCATTTGATGTGTTTTTCACTAAGAATGTGATGCCATGGCAGGCTCACCCTTTTATATACTTAGTTGTGTGCTCTGGAGCTGAAGGTTCAATTCTTTTTAGTGATATGACTGTTTTATTCATTTGATATTTTATGTGTGTGTTTAATCAGTAGCACTCACCACTATTGAAGCTCAATTCTGATGGTCCATATTTTGATTTGTTTTATAACTTCCTTCGTCTTCTTTGTTGCGTTGTTGGTACTCCATGTGTTCCCAATTAACTGACCAAAACCAAACATACCCAGTATTTCCCAACTCGAAATTAGGGTCTTCTGGTGTCAGATGTATGTAGAACTTACTTCTTCCAATCTTCCCCTTATGAATTTAGTAAAGAGGTTGTTCTCAGTTAGATTTCCATTAATGATTCCTTATGGTTTTTAAGCTGATAACTATTCCCTTGGTTTCAAAATAGACTTCACAATTTACTTTTTTCGTTATCCCAAACTAAATTTCACAATTCTTCCATTGCCTTTTAAGGATTGAAGTATGTGGCTCACTGAAATTCTCTCCTTTAAACAAATTTCAATCACCCACTTTTCACTTTTCAATTATTTTCTTAAACTTTGTGAAGTCAGTGTGTGAAGTTTAAATTGAGACGCAGGGAGTGTTTTGTCAACACACTCCTATTTGTTCTTAGGTAATAAAAGTAATAAAAAAAATTAATTAAGCATAGGAGCCTAGGAAGCCGAGTTAGTCATTTTACTACCCCAACAACAAACCCACTTTAATTCCAACTCTGTTAGGGTCTAGGGCTCAAGTTATAGACATGCTTACCTATGTAAAAAGTAGGGATTGTTTCTGTAAGACCTTGGTGCATTCATGCATTTGCTGCTTAAAACTATTTAGAGAGTAAGAAGCAAGGGAAGCTCAATGTGCCATGCTGTCCAAATCATTTTACCATCCTGTTTGTTTTTATTTATTTGTATGCTATTGATGAACAATAGACAATTACAGAGTATTTGATAACAAAGGGAGTGTAAGGCTTTTCTTATTTATTTGTTATGCCTGTCTTTTTTGTTAGGTTAGGATACATAAGTTTTTGGAGAATACAAAGAAAAAAGGCTCATCGAATTCTGATTTTGAAGAGCAGCCTGAAGTTCAAATGAGTGAAAAACTGAGACTAAGGAAAAAAGTCACTACTTTGATTAAACAACAAAAGTTGCAGCAGGTTAGGATGATAGTGGAGCAGCAAGCTGATGGAAAGCCTTGGGGAAAGGAAAATCAAGTCAAGGTTGGTAGCTAATATGCAATACGAGTAATGATTGACTTGGTTTTGTTATTCTTGTTTTTTGTTTCTATGATTTTATATGCATTTTATACTGGGTTGTTGTTTGTTGTTTCTATGATTTTATATGCATTTTATGCTGGATTGTTGTTGTTTGTTGTTTCTATGATTTTTTATGCATGGATTTCGGCTAAACATGCTTCAATTAAATTATTCATTCCAGGTAGGCAGCCTTTTGATGAAGATATTGATGGACGCAGCCTATATACAGGTTCCTATGAATGAGTCCGAAGGCGTGCCTGACATCCGGCCTGCATTTGTTCACACAATCAAGACTATAGAAGCACCGTAAGCATGCTACATCCCATGCTTTCCCACTTCACCCTCCCCTTCCAATTTTCTCTCTCCAAAAGAATAAAAATCAAAATATTCAAATGCGCACAAAAGTGAAATAAATAATTACTTTATCCGTCCCTAAAAGGGTCATGCCTGATCGAAGCACAACACATTAAATTTTGGTAAGGTAGAACTCTTGTAAATTATCAGTCCTATGTACCTGTATATTTTTACATTTATATTTTTTTATAAACTAAAATTAACATATTTAACTTGTTCAGAACATATGTTCTTGGGAATATTACATTAAAGTAAATGAAAGTGGGTTTGTTTTGTTGAAATATGAATCTTTTTTTTGGACAACTGGACAAAAATAAGTTTTGTTACAAGACACTTTTTACCCCCTTTTTGGGATGGAGGGAGTAAAAGAACGGTGAACAAAAGCCTACATTTTATTTTTAGGCGCTAATATTTGTCCAAGGCTCAGAGGCAACAATGATAAATCCACCACTTATCAATGTGGCTTTTCTATCGTAATAGGGGAGGCTCGAGGAGATGTGGGATGATTGAGTGCGATGCTCTAGTTTCCAAAGGCCTTGAGAAAACTGTAAGTGTGGTAGATGTTGCATATTTTCTATTTTAAAGATATTCTCTGCATATGTATGTGCCTATTTGGGACAACAATCACTTTTAAGATGGGACAGTGGGCTATTTCATGCTTGATGGTCAGATATTCAGTCTGAGAAATCAGTGAATAACCGAATGCCCCATTCAAATATATCTATCTAGCATTACAAATTTAATTAGTGAACATTCACGGTACCTTATTCATTCTATCCCTACTTTCTGAGCAGGCTAGGCACATGGTGATACCTTATATGCCAATGGTGATTCCTCCAAAGAATTGGACAGGGTATAGTATTCTATAGTAATCACCAAATCTATCATGATTTCATCGGATTTTGTTAGTAATAATGTTGAATTTGTGTAGCCTGTAGTCTTGTTACTGCCACACCGCCCTTTCTCTTTAAAAAACCAAGGGAATGTAGCTGAAGATATTCTATACCTAGTTGCTACTTTGGTGCTCTTATTTTTACACACTTGCACATTGTGTAGTCCATTTGCACTTTGGACTTTATCTGCCAAGATTGCTATGATCTTATGAATTACTCTGGTGGTTACTCTTGTAAAAAGACGCGTGTAGCTATTTTAACATGTAAACTTATACTAGCTAGACTGTTTGTAGTTGGTTATGGTTCTTGTTTAGAAACTGTGTTTATTTACTGGCCCTCCTTAAATTACTGGCCTAATTTTTTTTTTAGGAAACTTGCTTGACTAAGGCTTTATTTGGTAGTTTCACTTAGGCTACCTTGGCTTATTGTGCTTATAAGCAAAAATGAAAAATAAGTAGGAAAAAACCTCGGTGAACCCCAAGTTGCACCCCACTTTTGACCCCAATGCCTTCATTGACATCACAGACATGAAATAGTGGTCCATGTCTATGTTGTCTGCGAATGCTTTGGGATCAAAAGTAGGGTGCAACTTGGGGTTCCCCAGGCATTACTCAAATAAGTAACTATTGATTTACTTACATGACTGAAAACTGAAATGGATGTTACCAAGCAGTTTTATTTTCAGAAAAATCAGCACATTCATCTATTTCACTTGAATGCCCTTTACTAAATGGGTCCTAAAACTGTAAATTCTAACTAGATTGAAGTTTCTTTCTCAAAAAGGATTTGAGGTGTCCAATTTTTTTCCAACGTTCCTTATAATTTCAAATGATATGGCCAAATTAGAAGTTGAGATTTAATTGCTTCCAATGGGTTGAATATGTATTGCATGGGCATGAGATTTAATAGCTTGGATATGTGACACTTGCTCTGGTAATTGCAAAAAAATTGCATGTATGATTTGTGATATAATTAACCTTTTCATTCCTGCCAGATATGACAAAGGCGCTTATTTATTTTTACCTTCATATATTATGCGGACACATGGAGCAAAACAACAGCGTGACACAATCAAAAGAGTTCCGACGAATCAATTAACACAAGTTTTTCAGGTCTGGGGCATTAAAATATATCACATTATCACTTAAACTTTTTTTTCGGTGACACCTTTATTCAACATGTTACCTACTCAGTACTTACATCATCCTTGTAATGTCATGCTTGGTTTTAAGCAAAAGTTATGCATATTTTCTACAACTCCAATAGAGTTGGGATTATGATGGACTTGTTAATTAATGAAAAAATCCATGGAACTATGCTAGTATTAGATAAAATATTTTGTGGCCTACGTGGTTAGAACACATTGCTGGAATAATTTGTAAATACAATGTGACATCACTACTTCTTTATGATAGAATAGTGCATTTGTCATCTTTAGGGACACACTAGCTTATGGTATCATTAAGGATGTCCAAGTGATGGATAGCTTTGATAAGTTTGTTTTAATCTTTTACCGAGTATTTTATTTCATTTAATTTTTTTTGCCTTATTCTATTAAAAGGGGACCAAATATCTGAGGCTCTATACCATTTTGTTGTGATTCAGGCACTTAACACTCTTGGTAACACCAAGTGGAGGGTGAACAAAAAGATACTTGGTGTTGTGGACAGGATATGGACCAGTGGAGGTGGTCTTGCTGATTTAGTTTATCGCAAAGATGTATGTTATTCAAGCATGAGAGTAGTTATGTTATTTCTTTACATTTCATCCCCATCCCTTCCTTTTTTTATATAGAATATAATCCTTTTGTTCTTTCAGGTTCCTTTACCAGAAAAACCAGACACAGAAGATGAAGCCGAAATCAAGAAATGGAAGTGGAAAGTCAGGAACTCGAAAAAGCAAAACAATGAGAGACATTCTCAACGTTGTGATATTGAACTGAAACTAGCTGTAAGGATCTCCCTAAAGTCCAATTCATTTGGCATTATTAATGGCCAAGTCTTCAAATGACCCTGAACTTTTAAGTAAAACCCCAATTTTACATGAACTCTTTAACCGTTCCATCCAAAGAATCTCTATTATAATATTGATCTTGAAAGCATCTGCTTATACAACATGCCCAAACTAAATAAGGACTTTTTGAAATTTCACGGTCATTGTTGAGTTACTTTAGTTAGTTTAGGGACCAAACAGGACACTTTAAGAGTTCAAGGTCAATCATGATTCTTTATTGAAACTTTAGGGTCAATTTTGGATATTTTGGAAATTAATGATATTAAGGTTGGCTGTTGAAGATCAGGTTGCACGAAAACTAAGGGACGAAGTGGGATTTTACTACCCACATAATATCGATTTTCGTGGGCGTGCGTATCCGATGCATCCATATCTGAACCATCTTGGCTCTGACCTGTGCCGTGGAATCCTAGAATTTGCGGAAGCGCGTCCACTAGGAAAGTCAGGGCTGCGTTGGCTAAAGATACACCTGGCAAACATTTATGGTGGTGGTATTGATAAGTTGTCATATGAAGGCCGGGTGGCATTTACTGAATACCATGTAGAGGACATTTTTGATTCTGCAGACAGACCTCTGGAAGGAAAACAATGGTGGTTGAAAGCAGAGGATCCATTTCAATGCTTAGCAACATGCATTAATCTTACTGAGGCACTCAGAAGCCCTTCTCCTGAGACTTACCTTTCTCATATCCCTGTTCACCAGGTACCAAATCGTACTTGTAGTAAATGTAGTGCAGTGTTAGAGTTAGTGATGTGCATAGTAGATTATGGCTAGACATAGCTAAAAAAAATTCTCCATCCCGAAAAAGAGCCAGGTTTTGTCAAGGTACAATTTTTTAAATGTTGGCCAGACATGTAAGTTATTAATTCTTCTGAATATTTTCAAATTTGATTTGTTGGTTTAACTAAGTTGATCATATTTTAACTTGCTTGTTAACTATTTTTTGGCAAATTAGATGCAAATTTAGCTTTATTTGAACTGTGAAACACACACACTCACACACACACACACCTATTTTGAAGCTGAAATGTTTTCTACTAGTTAGAATTTTGGAGTTATACAATATTATAATCTGATACCAATTTCCCGTTTAAACATGTTCTGACTTCTGATGTTGCTATATGTTTTCCTTTTCTAGCAGTTATGTGCATAAATGCTTTATTCTGAAATCTATGTTAGTTTTTGAATTTTATTCTCTTACTTTGTTGTGTATAATCTTTATCAAGGACGGCTCATGTAATGGGTTGCAACATTATGCTGCCCTTGGGAGGGATGAGGTAACAACTCTCTTTTTTTCCCACCATGATATGTGTAAGAGTTTGTTCGTGTACCAAATTTTAAACCACATCACAGATTCACAATTACCCTTCGATATTGCAAAATTGTTATGAACTTATATATCATTTAGGCATTTACAACCTTTATCAGTTGTTTTGTCTCTTAGGATTCTTTGTTTTTTACCCTCTCAGTTGGGAGCTGCAGCTGTCAATCTTGTTGGAGGAGACAAGCCAGCAGATGTTTACTCTGGAATTGCTGCTCGGTAAGTTGTACCTGTACGGATTTACAGCTCTCCCTTCTTCATATAGTGATTGTTTCCTTTCGACCTTCGTTATACTAAGCTACTTAAGTTTTAAAGTCTCAAGAATTTTGTTTCCGGGCTATTTTTCCTTCTCGGGAGAGGAACACCTAAAACTCAATAAAATCAAGATATAAAGCATCTTGTTTAATAAACCCAATAAGAAAAGTTTATACTCCCTACGCCTTTGAGTATGTGTCCACTTTTGACTTTTTTTAGTCAAAATTGGTAAACTTTGACCCCAAATTTAATAAAAATGATATTAGATATTGATACAAAAATAATTTTATTAGATTTATTATATGAAGTATTTTCAAAATATTATTTTATCTAATTAATATACGATATATATTTTATTTAATTATAGGTCAAAGGGTGAAAATGGTTGACTGAAAAAAGTCAAAACTAGACAAATACTTAGGGACGGAGATAGTATGACTCACATGATCTTTCGTGGATAAAAATTTGTAACTGACAATTTGCTGCAATACAACATATGGGTGCTTATAACAATTATATTAGGGTATAGTGGTATATTTTAATATTTCATTATGCTAATTTGTTTCCATTCAAAACCAGAGTTCTTGATATCATGAAGAGTGATGCAGCTAAAGATCCTGCGACTTATCCGAACGCGACGCATGCAAGACGTTTGATCAACCAGGTTATCATCATCATGATAATCATGTTTATAATATGGAAACATATTGCATTCCCTAGTTTTTTTTCCTGTTTAAGTCCAAACATCAAGCATGTTTATCTTGCCGCATAAGGGATGTGAAGCATTAGAATTATTCTTCTTTAACACATCTTTCTAATTTCAATTAATGTTCTTCGACTGAACTTGAAGAAATGCTCTTATGTATTCCCAATTTTTGATAGACTACAATTTGTAATTTGTTGTCTCTCAGGTTGACAGGAAATTAGTTAAACAAACGGTGATGACTTCAGTGTATGGAGTCACATATATTGGTGCCCGTGAACAAATCAAAAGAAGATTAAAGGAGCGTGGTGTGATTGAAGATAATGATGAGCTGTTTTCAGCTTCTTGCTACGTGGCAAGAGTAAGACAGTGGATTCTCAGTTTTTTACTTTGTTTATTTGACAAAAATTTCACCTGGGACTTTAGGAGCTTAGGAAGAGCAGCCAATACGAAAATATCTCCCATCTTGAGTAAATAATGTTATTAATTGATTACCCAAATAGAATACAAGGCAATGAACAAACAAATAAATGTTAACTTGAAATTTCCGTCAAGAATGGTATTACACTGTTGTAGGGTATTTTACTTTTTGCAAGCATTAGATGATTCGCGCTCATATATTGGGATTAATGTTTACTTTTGGTTGTTTTATTGCAATTACGGTCTAACTATTAGTCAAACTCTCAGACTACATTGACTGCCTTGGGACAAATGTTTCAAGCTGCACGAGGCATCATGGGCTGGCTTGGGGACTGTGCCAAGGTTTGTGTTTCGAGTTTATACTGTGTTGGAAAACAAATAATGGTGCAGGTCCACCTGGCGTTAATTTCATTAGGCATTACCATGTGATTAGTGATATTCAGTTTTAAAGTAACTATACTTATCGTCCCAACAACAACCAACCCAGTAAAATCTTATAAATGGGGTCTTTGGAGGGGGGGGGGTGGGTGGGTGGTGCAGATCTTCAAAGAAGTTTAATTTCTAATTATTAATTTGGTCTGTAATTCTAATTATCAATTTCTAATTATTAACACTGTCAATATATTACTCGGAGTGTCACAAGCCTATGCAAAATGAGTTTGGCAAAGAATACAAAGTTTGAAGCTGAAAATTAGTGAAAGATGGATTGAATATAGTCTTTGTTTGGGAAGAGGGAAATTAGAGAGAAGTCGGAGATAAAGAACCCAATCTCCTTGTTTTGTATGTTTGAGGAAATGAAGAGAGTATGAAATGGTGCGGGACTGACCAAAATCTATTCTCTCTTGTGCAAAGAAGCATTGAAGATTTTGATTGTTATTTTGCAATTTATTTCTTTATACCATTTCTCTTCAGTATATAAATGAATCTATTTTTGGGTGTTGGCATCTAGATATATATTTGCATATTATTTTACTAATGACTATTAACTTATGGGTACACAGATCATTGCTCGGGAGAATCACCCTGTACAATGGACAACTCCGCTTGGCCTACCTGTTGTGCAACCTTACCGAAAAACAGGAAGGCATCTTGTAATAATCAATTTCAACTTATTACTTTAAACATTCTCTTTCAATTTTAAGGAATAAATTAATTAAATTAGTTTTTCAAATGAATGCAGATTAAGACGTCTCTTCAGATTTTGTCCTTAAAACGAGAAACAGATAAGGTAATTCTTGTTCTTTCCACATTTATTTAGACCATCCTTGTGTATATATTTTGGCTGCTCTAGTGACTTGACAAATATATTTCATCATCAGCATCACCTTAATCCCAATTATGTTGAGGTTGATGCCTATTAATTGTCTTAGAATTAATAACATTATAAAATCATGTCTTAGAATTAATAACATTATAAAATCATTTGAAAAACACATTGACAGTTTTGCATCGATGTCCTTCCCCTCACATTAATTCTAAACAGGGAATGGTGAGATGTTATCTCCAAAACTGTCACCACCATTTTTTTCCACTTGACCACTTGTGCCATAAATATCATGATACGGCTATCGATTGAGAATGTTTGGTATGTATAGTCATGTCTCATTGTAAATGTGATGTTTTGACCCAAATAGTTCTTGAAAAATATTATTTTACTCCTTTTGGACCTTATTATATTCACACAGTAGACCACCAAGTTACACACCAAATCAGTAAAATATTAGTTTTCTTGAGCTCATAAAAATAATACTTCCTGATATTCTACTTTTACCTTTTCATTGAAGAAGTTTTTGCATGAGCTGGGCTCACATGAGCCCGAAGCTTTAAATACCTCTACCTTTGTAGACAACAAAACACGTACGGAGTATCACATAAGGTACAAACATCTACAAGTAGGGCTCATGTGACCCTGGCTTGTGCAAGGATTTTTGCTCGTAAATGAATGATTTTTACATAGAAAAAACATGAACACAATATTTGTTATTATTACAGGTGATGGCTCAACGGCAGAAGACAGCCTTCCCTCCAAATTTTGTACACTCACTTGATGGTTCCCATATGATGATGACTGCCATTGCGTGTCAAGAAGCAGGCCTAAATTTTGCAGGTTTTTTTCTATTCCTTGACCCATCACATTCTTCTTCCTTGAAGCATGTGTCACTCCTTAAATAATAATCGAATTATTCACTTTTTTTTGGCTGCAGGGGTGCATGATTCATACTGGACTCATGCTTGTGATGTTGATCAAATGAATAAAATTCTAAGGGAAAAGTTTGTGGAACTTTATGAAAAACCAATATTAGAAAATGTAAGTTCGCTAACAATCTTGGGTTCATTACTAACTGCAATTTGTGGAATTCTAAGGCATGTTCATTCCAACTTTTAACTCTAGACTCTAGTTTTCAAGCCCCATGTTCGAGTCTTCATATTTTCAGAATCCGAGGTATCTGTTAAAATTGAAACTCTATCAGTATATCCAGACTCAAGTTAAAAAAAGTAAAAAAAGAACATGCCCTTGTCATCGTAGCCATTGTCATAACATCAAAACCTTATCCAAACTAGTTATGGAGCTAAACGAGTCATGACAATTTTTAGTTTCGGGATGAAAAGGCACATCAAACTTTCCTTGCTTCTTACTCTCTATAGAGTTTTGAGCAGTAAAAGCAGCAATGCATATAACGACTTAAATCTTGATCCTTCAGACCCCAATGAGGTTGGGATTATACTGGGTTGTTTGTCGTATGATTTTTACTCTTCTTTTACAAGGCACTGTTCCCTTTCTGACGGTGTTGATAATTTTCTTTAACAGGTACTAGAAAACTTTCAACAGTCATTCCCTAAATTACAATTCCCTCCTCTGCCCGAGCGGGGCGATTTTGATTTGAGAGAAGTTTTGGATTCTCCCTACTTTTTTAACTAAGATTTACACACACAGAAGTCGTGAATCCTACAGCATCATGGTAAAAGCAGGCGCAGAAACAGAGCCAAACAGCTGTTTGGGGCCAATCCGCTTTTACCAATAGGGTAGGGCAGTGCCCCACACAAGGTGAGGCCGTTTATCATCTCATGAACGCTGCTGCTTCATATACATGTGACTTTGAAGGCGAGACGACTTGTCTTATAGTTGGCATGCACAGACACACACCGAAAGGGTCTTTTTTTCCCCAGAGTTTGGAAACCTTTACAACATTACATGTATAGTAATACGCACGTACACGGATACATTGTTCTTGGATTTTTATTTTTACGGTATTAAATTGTACATAGGATCTTGCTTAGACTAGTCATCAACTTCCAATTTCTAGGTCATTTTTTAAAGTGTGTTATGTTGAAAATAAAGATAAATTGTTTTGTAGCTCTGTTGGGAAAGACTGGAATCAATTGATTATTGTTAGGGTGTTGCTAAATTCACTCATATTTTGGCTAAATCCACCCCATTTATGATGAATTGACAATTTTGCCCTTATAGGTTGGTTCGCATCTAAACTTCCTCTTTTGTATGTTTAAGATAAAATTGCCAATCCTTCATAAATGGGGTGGATTTAGCCAAAATAGGGGTGAATTTAGCAACACCCTTATTATTATTATGAGCATTTCAAGTACTACCTTTTCAATGCCATGTTTGGTGTTTGATCATTTGTTTGAGTGATGGTCTCTATTCTTAATAGTCACTTGTATTTAAGGAATGAAATTATGTACATAATCAATTCTAGTTATCAAGGTGCTTTGACTATATAAATACTACAATAAATAGAAAGATTTTTGTAGAACGAAATGCGTTTCTAATAATTTACATAAATCATATATACGCACATTGGTTAACAAAATTATAGGTGCAAAATATACTTTCAAACCATTAATGCTCATTTTTTAAAAGAAAAACATAAAGTAAAATGTTCTAAACTAGTATCCGAAGAGTGGATTAAACTTGTGAGCTCATTAAAAAATATACAACGATGAATCTTTTGACATTAGATTTTTGACGTTAAAACGACACAGACACCTACAATGCTGCGTAGGTAAAATTTGATGGTTTCTATCTCTAACCCGCTACACCCCACTCACTACCCACTGGTCGTCTATTTGGCATTGCCAAATCGGCTATCGAGAAGGGAGGCCTACTATGAACCATTAATTTTATCTACAGAGCACCATACGTCTCTGCGTAATTTTAATGTCAAAATTTTCAATATACTCCGATACCATTTTCACGTTACAGCAACAACAAATAAGAAAATTGCGCCTGGAAACCTCCTATTTTGAGAAACTAATTCCGGGTACTACATATTTTTAAAATACACTCGGGGTACCCTCCATTTTGAAAAATTAATTGTCGGGTAACTCATAGTTTTAAAATATACTCCGGGGTACCTCCAAATGTATATTAACTTATTCGTGTGGGACATTCCGCTTCATTCCAAAGCTTCGATTAAACTGGATAAATCGTATCCTTGAAGTATAAGAACCAAAGTTATTTTTGGAATTTCAAACCCCCATTTCTTAAAATTAATGGCGTAACTCGCTTTGAAAGAGAATGAGACGGAATGTCCTTCACGAGTAAGTTAATGTATTTATGCAAGTACGAAGAGTATATTTTAAAAATGTGAGGTACCTTATCGTTAGTTTCTCAAAAATGGAGGGTATTTCGAATTATATTTTAAAAATGTAAATTATCCGAAAATTAATTTTTCAAAATAGTGGGTACCCAAGGCAGTTTTGTGACAACAAACCCCGTAAACATGTAATTAAATTCCCCCAAAAGAGGTGTCCCACATCGTCTTTATACCCGTGAGATTTTTCTTCATAAACGGCAGCCACAAAGTCAAGTTTGCATTCCAATTTAAGTTATAAGTTAACTTTGAAAAATAGAACCACCTGTTTTCTTCGCCACCCGTTGAATAAGAATAGTTTATTCTTTTAATAAAAAAATACTCCGTTCAATTCGGTACAAATTAATTTTTAACATGTCTTTAAAATTATTTTAAAAGTAAATTCTATAAATAATTATTTCACATTTGTAAATATACAAGGTTTTGTCCTTGGCCCGTCCTAGCCAAGGTTCTGTATTAAAAGCTCTATAAAACAAATGATGATATAACTATTATTTTATCAAATGAGTATATTCTAATAATTCCATAATTGATCCTTTATAACATTAAATTTTTCCTATTTAATCCTCTATAATCAAATATTACTTCGGTGATCAACCTTTTTTATATTTCTCTACAAATAGTCTTTTTTTATCTTCTGTCATGTTGGTCTTAATTTGAAGGTTAAAAGTGTAATTTCACAATGATCATATAGACTTGATGTCAAGTTACATTTTTAGCCTTCAAATTAACATCAACATAATAGAAGGTCAAAAAAAGACTATTTGCAAAAAGGTACCTATAAAAAAAAGACCACATGAATATTATTTGATAATGGAGGACTAGTTACGAAATTTACTCTAAAAATAAACATATAAAGATAACAAAATGTTACCATATGAATAGTAAGTGGAAGGATTTTTATAGGACGGGGAGACTAGATTTGTAATACTCCCTGCGTCCTAAAATGTTCTTCCCACTTACTTTTCACACAGTCAAACTTTAATCACTTTCTTTGCCTATTTTAATTAGGTATTTGATAAAATAATATAGTCTTGTCATCACTTGTTTTGTAGAACTTTTGATGTAGTTTTTAAATATATAAATTTTATTTTTAAATTTTACACCTACAATCAAATAAATTGAATTGAAAATAAAGTCGGTCAAACTTCGTAAACAGAACCGGGAAGAACATTATAGTACAGAGGGAGTAATTAATAGAAATCATATATGCACGTTGATTATAAAATCACTACCTCCGTCCCAAATAATAGTCTATATTCGTTCAGCACAGAATTTAAAAAAAATAAGATTGTATGAATGAAAGTGATGCAGAAGATTAAAAATTATGAGTCACAAAAACCTTTACAAAAATGAAAAGAAAACTATTTTTGAGTGTTCCAAAAAGAAAATGAAGACTATTAATTTTGGAATGTGCAAAATATACCTTCAAACCATTAATGCTCATTTTTTAGAACAAAATCTTTAAATAAACCTTTTTAGACTAGTATCCAAAAAGTAGATTAAACTTGTGAACTCATTATAAATACATTTAAATCTCATATATATTTCTTCAACAAAAAATTATAAGAATATTTCAGCTTCTGCAAGCAGAAACAAGGAACCAGAAATTAAAGAACTTATCAGCTTTCTAAAAGGCTAGAAATTTACAGACCAAACAAAACAGAACAGATAACTTCTTGTGTTAAATGTACTTAGTTAACTTGCAGAAACCATCTATTCACCTGGTCAAAAATATATTACTAGATTCACTACTCAGGATTCACTCTTCTTCTGGGAACCTACAGATGCAGTAGACACAAAAGTTCAAGATACCATTTTCACGTTACTGCAACAACAAACCCGGTAAAAATCTAAAATCCCACAAGAGAAAAGGTATAGGTCTGGGAAGATTCTGAGGTTGCAAAGGATAAGCTTTCATGTTACCAGCAGTAAAAAGGGACAAAATGTGGGTGAAGTGAGAAGGAACATTTTGTGGATTTTTGTATTTACTACTGCATTCCATGTTTTTTAAAGACGGGTATTCGTAATGAGTACAAATACATAGAGACACACAAGTACATTGTAATATACTCATATTAAATAGAGCTACCTGAAAAGCAGGAAACTTGAAGCCGGCCTCTACTGGTGGTGGCTTTTCAGGAGTTGATAATTCTCTGGAGGGCATTGAGGGAATTCCCATTGTGGGGGTTTTGACGCCGGATAATGCATTGTAACATCAGGTGGAAAAGTTAGCAAAGATCGACCAACTTGGGACGTCTGCAAGTCAGGTGGACAAGTAATTTGTTTGTCGTAATGAGCGCATTAAAATGAAAGAACTTTTTATAGAAGGAAAAAAAACATTACATCTTTTGCAAGTAAACCATCCATGTTGAAATCCGCACGTGGAATCACAGTCGCAAGCTTCATGGATAAAAACTGAGGATAAAAAGATTTTTTTACAATAATATTTTAAGTAGTAAATGCAGCAATAATGATGTTGGGATTAAACTGGGTTTGTTGTTATTGTTGTTGATAGAAGGTTACGTTTCATTTTTTGCGTTTTACGGGATATGCATAAAGAAGTGTTACGTTTCATGTTGAAAAGAAGTGTTTTATGGGATACGCAAAAAATGAAACGTAACCTTCTTTTTGGGACGGAGGGAGTAATTACTCATATTAACTTAAATGTCACGTGAAATGGAATGGAGGGAGTGAAACTATAAATCAAAATCCATTTAACAGATTAACATAAATCAATGTGCTTCACTGTTTTTTTTTCTTAAAAGAAAAAATCTTAAAGAACTATTGGCTAGTTTGGCATACCTCGACCTGTCGTTGAAGGGGTTGTACATAATTAATGATTTCGTCCAGCATTACTGCTTTGCCTGTCACCTGCATCACAACAATTTCTCCCTAACACTCTTTAAGCAACAACTGAATTCACACATGCACGCGCACAAACACATTTGATAGTTAGCACAAACTGAAGGGGGGCGATGATCGGGAGTCAGCCCAAAATGCCCAACCCATTTATCATTATTTAATTATATTTAGTGCCCAATCCAACTACGGTTGCGGACCCGTGCGAAAATGGGTGTAATAGCCCAGTCCAGAAGCGAGGTAGGAGCCCATCCATCAAGGGTGAATGAACCAACCTTGTTACAACCAGGGACAAGATCCTGAAGAAATTTCATCCGTTGACTGATCTTTTCCCTCCTTACCTACAGATATATACATCAGTTTGTTGAATTAAAGAACTTGTTATACTTATGCACAAACTGCTCAGTTACTTGAAAACATGAAGAATAGTAAGATCCTCACTCTTTCTGCAAGACTGTGGCTGTTTGTCGCCTGGCCTCTCCTAGCTCGAACATGTATATGTTCTTCTTTGGAAGGATCCGAAGCGTGGGACCCTGCCTGTTTGATGTAATCCATGCCATGTTTGCTGGAAGTTGACGACATCAAAATTTGATCAATATCTTGTTGAATCTCAGTTCGATCCACGGTGACATCAGAAATATGAGGAATTCCCTTGTTTTTCTCAAGTTCTGCCTGCTGTAATTCCTGTAAAACATACGTAATTTTTTTTATTTTTAAAAAAGGTTATTCTCTACAAAAAGTGTTATGAAAACACTTGCAAAATTTGACACTTCACAACAACATTATGTTTCTCAACACCTCAACCCATAACATCACTTTTACACCAAATGGAAATTACACATGCCACAAAAGTACATGAAGAGGGAAAGGTTAAGGGAATGCAAGCGCTGCAGTTCCCAAACAATCACGTAAAAGGGCTTTTTTCGTCAAACTCGTAGCCTTCCCCAAACCTTTCGCTACACTTTTGTAACTTCTCGTGTACTTGTAGCATTATTTCTTTTTAAAGGAAAAGCGTAAGTGCTCATTTGGTAAGGTTTAGTTGACTGAAAAGATTTAATTTTACGAAAGGAAAAGCGTGTAATATAATACCTGTCCCCTCCATTTCCTTTTCTTAGAAACAGATTCCTTTTCTTGATCACCATGGCCACTACATTCTTGCCCCTCGCACTCATTCCCTAAGCCATCGTTGGCTTCAAAAAATTTCTCACACTTTTTGTGATTCTTCAATTCTTCAAGCAGTAAAGAACCCTCCTTGGAACTTTCAGCCACAGAATAAGGATTCATAGTCTTTTGAATTGGCATTAGACCCCTTGAATAAGGACCCATGGGCATGTTACCTCCATTGAAGCAAGACAACCTCAGAGCTCTTTGAATAGACTCAGAATCTGGAAACTGAGGTACCATCCTAGAAGCAGTAGGTACAAATGCATTTGGCTGGGTCCAGAACATACCGATATTTCCAGATCCCGGAAGGAGGTCCGATGAAGCACCATTTGGGAGAATATCAGTATGCAAACTTATATTTTTGTCCCATGTTGGAGGGAGAAGAGAAGAAACTGACATTGGGTTAGCAAGAACGGAACCGTTTGATTGCCACTCGGACAGGATAATATTATCTGTCTCTATCACATCTTCTTGAACCATATCCATCATCTTGGAGAAAAAAGCCACTCTTTCAGTAGTAGTTGTTGAGTAGAACCTATACAAAGCTTAAATCTCAGAACTTGCTTTCCCATTTTCAGGACAGTCAAGAAAAGATACACTACTAGTTACTAAAAATCTCCTAACAAGAAAATTTAGGGCCTGTCTGGAATGCATTTAATCCAAATCCAATAAAACAATTGTTCATATTCATCAGGCTATCTTTTGTCAAAAAAAAAACTTCATGAAGCAGGGAAAAAGTGCAAAACAAACATGTAAACAGCCTAAAATAGCTTCTCTCGTTCAATCCCAATTCGTGTAAGTTTAAATTAACCAATTCCAAGTTCAAACCCAAAATCTAAAAAACATAAGAAGAAAACACACACACACACACACACTTAGTGCACCATGGTTTGATCTTTAAGGTTGTGCAGACACTTTCACTCAAACTTTCTTCAGTAACTAACAACACTCTATCAATGTCCAAGAAAACAGATATTCTGTTCAATTAAAAAAGCTAAAGAAAGTGTCGATGAACAGAAATATAAATACAACCAAACTATAACCCAAAATCAAATGATGAAACCCTAGTCAGGGCAACACTCAAAGACAAAGAAAGTGACAGAAAAAAGGTACCTTTATTCAGATTCTGTTGGAGAAGAAGCTAAGGAAAAAAATCATGTTCTTGGGGAAATAGATTCATAGTGCAAACTATACAATTCTGTCACCTTATCAAGAAAACAGAACCCCTTTGAAACAAAAGCTATAAAGACTGTGATGCAGAAAATTTCACAGCAAAGTAGAGAGAGAGATGGGCATTTGAGGGGAGTCTTGAAACGATTTTCTTATTCTTTTTTTTAATGAAAAGGGAAGAAAGCTTCATAATAAAGCTCCTTCTTCCCGGCATTTATAACCCATGCCTCCATTAAAAAATGAGAGTTCTTGATGTTTGATGATTAGCCTGGAAAACTATGGTTCCACACTTCCACCATGAAATTGACAAGTGAATATATCACTCCATCGTTATTAAATACTCCTTCTACCCACTTCCTATTTACTCTTTTAAGGAGTTTGAAAAAAGAACGAATTATGAAATTAGAAAATGGTTATGTGTACTTGATACGTACCAAATTTCAAAGGAATAAAAATGAAAATATATTTAGTCAAGGGAGCAACTTAAATTAGAACGGAAAAAATAACATTAGTGTTGTTACAAATTTCACATAGGCTTTTTATTTCGTAATATTTTTTTCCAATCATCTATAATTCATAGTGTTTTCAAGCGTACAAATACAATGTGGTATTACTCTATATTTTTCTTTTTTATAGGTTCGAACATGTGACCTCTATTTGAGAAAGCTACAGCAATGTCTATAAATCACAAGATCTTTGTTTTATTAGTCCGTATTCATTATTACTATGTATATACCCCGTATTTACTGTATTTATTTATTTAAATGCTCAATTACTTCCCCCGTCTTTAATTTGAGTCATATTTTGCATTTTCGAGGAATACATTATACTCCCTCTGTCCACCATAGATCTTCCCAATAGCTCTTTTTCTTTGTCCACAATAGATCTTCTCATTTCATTTTTTAACAAGTAAAATACCACAACTACCCCCACTTACTTTATTTATTACACCTCACCCACCTCATTTAATACACTCCACCCATTTTTCATTAAGGGTATTATGGTAAACTTTCACCTTTTTTCAACTCTCCTTAAAAACCACCAAAAGTCAAAATGAGAACATCTTAGGCGGACGGAGGGAGTATATCACACACATGGGCGGATCTACTTGGTGATTAATGGGGGCACTTGCCCCCAATGACTTTTAATTTTTTTTATAAATAAATAACCAATTTTTTTTAAAATATCATTTTTGCCCCCACTAAAAAAATGAAATGCCCCCATTCATTTTTCCAAATCCTCACTTACAATATAAAAAAGAAGGATAAAAACATTTTAAATCTTTAATTGAAAATTATTTTTGGTAGTCTAGTCATGTATAATATCTAAATTTAACATTATTTATTTAGTAGGTTATAAATTATGCGTAGCATGTCATAATATTGAAATGCAATTTAACTGTAATGGGAAATAATACGTGGTTCAACCCACATTTCCCAATTATTTACGAAGAACAATAAAACCAGGCATATTTAATAAAATACTACCTCCGTCTCATTGTCTTTGTCCACTTTTGACTTTTGAAAATGTTCATCAAAGCACTTTGACTCATTAAATTCTCTCAATGTGTAAGCCTAAAAATAGTCATGTGTGATCTTGTTTGATTCAATTCGTCTTAACATATAGATTATTAATATATAATTTTTATAATTTTTTAATATACAAATTACAAGATAAAATGAATTAAAGAAGTATATTGGATGGTGTGCCAAAAGATAAGTGGACAAAGACAGTGGGACGGAGGGAGTAGAAGAATAAGAGAATATTCTCCTGTAGATGCTTCTGTTACTCCTATAAAAGGAGGGTTCTCCTTCATTAAATGGGAGGCCAATTCACTCACTTCCTCATGCACATCTCACTCTATCTCTCTAGATATTCACAATTTTTGTTCTTCAATAAACTTTCAAGCTTCCATTTATGGTTTTCGAGCCCATTTCATATACCGTGTACACACCTCTGATATTAATAAAAATACCTCATTGGCAAGGTACTGTCAAAAAAGGCCCGTGATTTTCTCCCGATTTGGGTTTCCACGTCAAAATTCCTGTTTTTATATTTTGGTGTATTTTTAGACTAGTTTATTATTTTTGTCCGGCTAAAAATGATATACTGGTTGATAATTTACACCATCAAACTGTATTTATGACATTTTACATTAACTTTCACACACAAAAAATCAAGTGTTGCTCCCAAGCCCCGCCTTATTCTTGCCCCCTGTCATTTCATTTTTTGGATCCGCCACTTTCCCTTTTTAAGAAAAAATATGGAGTACATAACTTTTTCTTTTTCAAATAAATTTTAGTCACTTACTCCGTTTTTTTTTACTTTTTTAATACTCCTACTTTTTAAAAATTTGTGGTGTTTAAGAATAAATTTAGTAAAAAATTTATTTTCATTTATGTAAATTTTATTTATAATTTTAAATAAATCTCTAAATAAAATGAATTTAAAAATTTTGAAATTTCATTTCACTTTGTGTCAAATTTAAAATAGTTTGGGAGAGAAAGTATTAAAAACCATATCTCATTCTGACCAAATCCTATAAAAGGTAGGGAGTACGTAGCATTAACTTGGGAGTTTGGCAAAGTGATGGGTACGCAACCATACGCAAATTTGTAACTTCAAGTCAAAGGATATTTGTCTCATAACATTTGTTCACTTTTGATCTTTTGTTGTTAAAATTGATACTCTGTAAAATATTTTTATTTATTAAATTGAATTTATATAATATGCATATAACAAGAATAATTTTGTTAGACTTTCCTTATAAAATATTTTTCAAAATATCTTTTATCTAATTAATATATCATATATTTAATTTTTATTTAATTATTGGTCAAACGTCGCTCCTTATTGATTACAAGAAGTCGAGACAGGATAAATAGTATCAAGGTATCAACTTGACCAAAAGCTCAAGTTTCTAGCCCAATTTTGTTTACTCTGGAGTATATTTAACACGCCCCTCACGTCCAGGCGTGGCCGCTTCGTACCTTGCACGTGAAACTCCTTAGTTTTTTTAAAATTTCAGTGGCGCTCTGTTTTGAAATTGTGAGCTCTTGGTCAGCAAGGTCCTGATAACCCCTCCATCCCTAAAATTGAATATAGTTTAAAATAATTAAATATTATAAAAATTGATATTTTAAAACTACATTTTAAAATTAATTTAATTTTATCAAATTTAAATTAAAATTAAATACTCCCTCCGTCCCCCATAGATCTTCCCATTAGCCCTTTTTATTTGTCACACATAGATCTTCTCAATACCTTTTTTAACATTTAAAATACCTCAAGTACCCCCATTACTTTATTTATTACACCTTTTCCACCTTATTTAATACACCTCACTCATTTTCATTAAGGGTATTTTTATAAACTTTCACCTTTTTCAACTCTCTTTAAAAACCGCAAAAAGTCAAAGCGAGAAGATCTTAGGGGGACGGAGGGAGTATAGTTTTTCTATAATTTGTGGTAAAAGGAGTCATAGTTTGACCAAAAAGTCAAACTATGACAATCTAATAGGAGTAAAAAAGTGTACGTATAGTTACTATGAGTTGGTATATCTTTTGTACTTGCGTAATTTATTTCTAACGTACTTCGATTGGTTTAATCTTTTTCTCGTATTTCTTCCGTTTCAAAAGAATACAATATATATTTTCTTCAAATTTCTTGGTTAGACTTTAAAAATATATTTTATAAAAAGATATATTAGTTGAACTTTCTAAAAGCACTAAATATGTTAATTGAACATTGAACTCATGAGTGACCAATATTAAAGTCAACAACTTTTAAAGATTTTGTAGTCCAACGACATCAACATGACAGTATGACTCTCCCAAACCTCCCACACGAGTTCAAACTCTAATAGAGACAATGACTAACTGTGCTCAAATAGGTTGAAAAAGTATATATGAACAGATATATTGCAATAGAAATTATAAAATTGTTAGGATAAATTTTTTTAAAGCCAACAATTTATGGCGCGGCAAAAAAATCCATCAGGCACTAAAATAGAAAATCTTTGAATATAAATCTTTTCCATTTAAAGTAAAACTTGAATTCTTTTCCTTTTTTCTTTTGCATTATTTTTCATTTAAAATACTCCTTTGTATTTCTCATTATAAATATTGTATTTCCCATTATAAATACTTCACAAAATTGATTACATATCATCTCTATACTATCATTCATCCAAATAAAAAGCCATGGAAACATTGTCTCTAAAGTTGTGCATCTTTCTTGCTCTCTTTCTCATTCCAAATGGTTAGTATTCTAATTACTTTCAATCACTCTCCCCCCTGACAAAATAAGCTTTTCTCTCCACCAATAGAGAGAAAAAACGATCAAAAAGTCATTTTTGCCCTTCACAATAATACATGCGGAGTAACGAAGTACTTATATTCTACATTCCCTACGTCCCAAATTAATATTCCCAACTATTATTACATCATCTCAACAACTTATGCTCTTATGCATCTTTGGGACGATCATGAAACAGTTCTCAAATATCGAAGACCACGAATATAATACCTTAGAATTGATGATTATATATATGGAATATCCATGTTATAAAGGACTATTTATAGAATTTTACTCTTAAAACAATGTGCAGGCTTCCAAACAGGAGTGGAGTTGGCAAGAGGACAACCAAGATGCAGTGTGAATGAAGATTGCAAGTCCTATTGTGACTCCACTAGGCTCCCACATCTCCCTATCTGTTACAATGGAATCTGCAAGTGCTTTTATCCTCCTCACTTGCCTCCTCAGTCCATCCATCTACATTAATTAATCAGCTCATCAATTATGCTGTAATTTATACAGGCCTTCTTCTTCAAGAAATGAAGAAAGAAAACAATGATAAATTTGGAGCTATATATCATCAATATGCATAGAATCATGGCCTTCTTTTAATATAATTATCATATTCTTATATTCTCTAGTGTTTTTTTAGCCTTGGATTATTATGCTCTAACACAAATCAGTTCAAACCCCTTTTGAAGACACACAAAAGATGGCACAAACTCGGAAGTTATGATAACGTAATCTAAGAATACGTACATGGGCAGAATCGAGAATTCGAAAGGCATAGCTTTGCCTCAAATGGAAATTGCCCAGAACTTCTTCCTGCAGAGTAAGACAGCTTCCGTTTTCCTTTGGTCATCTTCTAGATAGTGTAACTGAGCATCCCAAAGGAACTTCGGAGCGATATCTCTTATCCTAGTCACAACAGGTTCTTCATCTCTAATAATAATGAATCCCTGAGACAACAAATTTCAGTTAAAGTTACTGTTTCATCCGGACTCTAGACTCCAGTCAAAATTAAGGTGTAAAGAACAAGCCCTACGTCAAAGTTTATTTTCCAATGCAAGACCAAACAATAAAAGAGTTTTTTTTTTAGCATTTTCGAGTTCCAAAGATAGCCACCAAATAATAACCTGAGGTCTTAGCATACGATCCATCTCCAACATAATATCTTCCATCAAACAACCATCATCGCGACGATTTCTATAGTGAGAAAAAAGATGGCTGGCATGCAACAGATCATACGACCGTGGATATGTTGAAAAGGGCTCACACCTAGCAAAGTCCAGGAAGAATTCGTTATATGATAATACAAATTGTGAAAAGTTAATTTTTTTTCAAAGAATAGGGAAGCGGCAGCATACCAGTCGTGAAAAGTGCCTACCAAACCACGGTCATAAATGGCCGAGAGTGTATTGTTCATGCTTGCAGGAACTACATTCATTACCCAGATCGGCCATGTGTTAAAAGCAACTGCAAATCCACCAAGGAAAGCGCTCATGTCCATCACATTACGAATCTCTTTCTCTTCGACATCCATCAACCTCCAATAGTGGCGCACTTGGTCTTGCCAATAGATTGTGTCTGACAAGAACTTCTCGCGATCAACGCCTGTAAGGCATGTAGCATGTTAAAACATTACTATTTTAACTGTATCTTCTTTCTTTACATATTTATATATATCATTTGTTGAAATAACAGTCAAGCCACCTCTAGCTTTGTAGAACTTTTAGTGTATTTTTTAATATATAAAATTTAAATTTATGAAGTATGAATTTATGAAGGGTTTATTGAATTTCAAAATTTAAGTATGAAGAAATCAAAATCCAAGCAATGCTAAAAAAAATATATTAGGTTCTAGTAAAAATGATACACATACTCTTTTACTCATACTTCGTTAGTGCTACTATGATTTGCTTGCAGGTACTTTGTATTTGAGCTGAGAGTTTCTTGGAAACAGCCTCTCCACTTGGTCTCTCTACTTTCAAGTAAGGGTAAGGTTTGGTCTGCGTACACTCACCTCTCTAAACCCTGCTTTTTGTGGGATTTCACTGGGTTTGTTTTTGTATATACCTCAAAAGGAAACTTCAACATACCTATCGTCATGAGACTTTGTGAATACTCTGAAAGGCGCTGAGGACGTGGAGGGAGCTTTTTAGAGTTATATGTCGGGTTACTCAGTGTAATACAGTTCCTCAGATGTGTTTTCCATGAAGGGATCAAATTGTCCTCAGGATCACACAATTTTACAAGTTGCTGATCTGCATTATGCTGAAGACAAGAATTATTGTCTTGTTTGACCCATATTGCAGTTTGAACTTGCCTAGCGATCAGTTTCCAACACATTGCAGAAGCAACTGTCACTAACTTGTCCCATATCTCCGGAAAATCCTTATCCTTCCTATACGCTGGTGGAGCGGAATAGACAAAATATCCATTTGATCTTAATAGGCGATTCACTTCCTTGAGTAGTATACCATCTGCAATAACCACGAAAAGAAATTGATGAAAATGCCATTTCAAGCACTACAAGTGGCAAAAAATACTACTACGGGGTATATAGACGTTGGAGCTGAAAAGACAAAATATCCATTTGATCTTAATATAACACCGAGCCATTTGGGGATCTTACGATTCTCCGTTGAGTATGTGACCAGGTCCTACCCCCCTAACCCACCCTACAAATCCAACCTCCAAGCATTTCGGAAAAATGCTAGCATTTTTTGGAAATGCTAGGGTGGCTGGGATAGGGGCAAGGGGATTGGGTTTGTGGGGTGGGTTAGGGGTTGGAACAACAGAGCACCACAGGGCCCCGGAATCATATTATGACACCCAAAATGTGTGTCAAAAGAACCGTGGTGTGTGTGTGCATGTGTATTATCCGCTTCCACACTTGTACAATGTATGGTTGGAGATCACTAAAGAGTAAAATCTCACCATTTTCATGCCAATCAACACGACATCTTGAGCAATGGACCATTTCAAAGGAGTTGCTTGGATATGGCAATTGTTTAGTGGCTAAAGCAGATATCATTGCCCCAATCCCTCGTTCCAACGCAAACTGAATCTGATTTTCATGACCATCTTTGGGAGCAAAGGACATAGTCTCTATGTCCAGTGGAAGAAGATATGCTGAAAAACTAGCCACACCACATCCAACATCAAGCACTTGAAATACCCCTGCAAAATGCAAGTCACCTTTCTCATTGGTTGTCATATTCCCTAATCTGCATTAACAAAAAAATGTAGCAAAATGAATTCTAACATTTCCCTATGCTTGCCGCAAAATGTGCATTCTAAGTCAACACCTACCTACAGTGGTGTAATCAACCGTGTAAAAATACTTCAAATTGGATCTAACTCACATCCAAATGATCCTTAAGACGTAAGGTTTATCTCAATTCTCACACTCATACAATGCAATAGACTTATTGCCGGTGTGTGCACATGCACACCCCATTAATATATACTCCCAATGTCCTATTATTTTTGTTCCTTTTTTAACTTTTTTGTCTGTCCCACTATTTTGTCTCATACCATATTTGGTCATAATTTTGTGGGTCACATTCATTCTTACTTTATATTACGTTTCAACATCAATTTGCACAATCTTACTTTTCTTAATATCCGTGCCACTCCCTCATGTCCCAAAAGTAGTGGGATGGAGGGAGTAATACACAAAGGTGTAACAATGGTTTCGAAGAGCCATGATGTACCTCTGAATGTATTCAGAAGCTCCATGCTTGAAATGAGTTCCACCGCCTGGGAACCACCATAGCTGATCCTTCTCATGCACCCAATTCTGCCCTCCTTTTACTTCAGCAAGATGTGAGTGGTTGACATTGCTTCGCCATACATAATCCCGGCTAATAGGCCACCTGATTGGTATCTTATAATCAACTGGGGGTGGCACCAAACAAAACAAGCGCCTCTCCAGAGGAGGGCAATGCCTCTCAAGCTCTTCCTTCCTAGTAAGATCTAACTTCGGAACCAACTCTTTAATATAGGATGCATCATGACATGGGATATGCTCATTGAACTCCTGAGGGCATACATTCACCCCTGTTTCCGGGATTCCGAGTGGAACCATTCCATAAGTAAGAGCGACTTTGTTTGTAAACTTCGTACTACCTGCGTGCAAGTATACCCAGATTCATAGTGTGCACAATCATCCCAAATAAATGGCAATGCAAAAAAAATGAACTGAGAAGCTTATAGTCTCAGAAATCATGAATCTTAACATGCATCGCAGCGAATCAATGAGGAAGCAAGCAAGTATAGTGGGAGCAAGAAAATATACAGTACTGGGTAAATCAAGAACTATATTCTTGTCTGGAAAAAAGAATCGTTTTTTAAAATAGATTGTACTGGGAAAATCAAGAACTGTACGGAGAAGATGATCACATTACGCATACTTCTTGGGATTTCCAGAGACAAATTGAAAAGAAAATGAAAGCACTGGCAATGAACTAACCGGAGGGAGTGTGAGACGAGTTGACAGCGAGCTGATGTTCTTGTTGAAGAGAAGAAGAAGAAGAAGAAGAGGAAGAAGAATGAGGGGTGGGGCGAAAGAGAGTGCCGGTGTAGAAAGATCCAATCATCACCAAAAGCGCCGCCATTATCATCTGTCCGGCCTTCCAATCGAATGCCCTCACCGGTATCAGCGATCCTCCTCCCCCCATATCTCTCTCTCTCTCTATCTCAGTCCTTATACGTAGTGGTAGTCACCATCAGAATCAGAGTGCAGAGATGAATCGCGCCGGCAAAAGCTCTCACAGATGGCTAAATGGCTTGGGAGTTGGGATCTCCTCTCCTGAAAATGAAAATAATGCTAGGGACACCAAAAATTGAGTAAGAAAAAAAGCAAAAAAAAATAAGATTATTTGAGACAATTTTTTCTTAATTTAAGTTTGTGTTCCACATTTTTGAAATATTACTCCGTATCTGGTAATATATTCCAAGGATATATTTTGATTATTTGGCCGTTAGGATTAAAATTTCTATTAATTAGACCATTCAAACACCGAAAAAATTACTCTATTTTTGCTAAGAACTCGCAATACCTATATTAGTAAATGTTACTTTGAAAGTCATTATTTATTTAATTGTAAGTTAAATAATTATTATCTTAGTTTTTAATCATTACTTTATTTATATTTTCATCAGAAAAAAACAATTTTAAAATACAAATTTATTTTATTACTTTAAAATTATTATTTAAACTTTATATTTTTTAAAAACTAAAGTATTTATAAATTTGTAATACATTTGCTTTATAAAGTTAAATTAGTTTATTAAATATTTTTTAAAATACATATTTTATTTCAAAACATTATATTCATTTTATTTTTCAATTTTATTATAAATGTTTTTTAACAATTAACTTCAAATTTATAGTTTTATTGTACAAATATTCAATTTTCAAATATTTATAAATACTTAAGTTTATAAAGAGTTTTAAAACTTTAAAGTTTACAAATACTTTAGTTTTTTAAAATATATAGTTTAAATAAATTTTTTTAATTTGTTTGTGATGAAATTATATACTCCGTATAAGAAAATGGTTTTTTATACCACCTCCATTCCAATTTAAATTACTTGTTTCGATTTACGATGTATAACTGAAGTTATTTTCAAATCATTTTATATAAATTTTATAAATTTAAAACTACATCAAAAGCTCTACAAACTAGTGGTGACATGATTATATTATTTTATCAAATAACAAATGAAAATAAGAAAAGAAAGTGGTTAAAGTTTAATCCTTTAAATACTAAACAGCAAATTTAATTTTGAACTGAGGGAATAGCATCTAAGATAATAATTTTTAAGTTATAGATTGAAAGACTTTATTAAAACTTAAAAAAATTATTATTCAAAGTAAAATTTAACAATATGTGACCTACGAGTTCATGGAGGTACCCCTGAAGTAATTTTTTTTGATTAAAATAATAAAATTTTCAATCATAACGACCAAATAGACAGAATATATCCTCAAAGTACGTTGCTATGAATATTAAAAACCTTCGAACTATATTTCGTATAATATGAGACTTAACAGTTATTATCAGAAAATTGAAGGAACTACAGAGTAATTTTTTTATTTTACATTGTTTTTTATTCTTTGTGAAATCAAAATGAAAAAAATAATTTAGTACAAATAGAGTTTGAAAAAAATGGAGCATTACATGTTTAAAAAGTAGACGGGTAATTTATTTGTTCCTTCAAAAAATATTACCTTAAATATGAGTAAATCAAAGAGAAATTAAAATAAGAGTTTGTACTTGGTAATGTGACATTGTATATGAACATTTCACCATACTTTTTTTTAAAAATGTATATGATCATGATTAACACAATATATGCATTTTAACTCTTACTTAGAGACGAGTGATTATTTGACCTTGGTGTTTCCTACGCAAATAATTTTGGAAAGCTCTCAGTTCACTTCCTAAATGAATGCAAAGAAGAAGAAGATGATGATAACAAAAATCCTTCATGGATCATATGCAGATTGCCTACTCAGCCATCGGCTTCAGTGCTGCTCTGCGCCACGGAGACTTGAAGGCAGGACGAACATATCCCATACCGGGGTGCCTGCAGCGATTATCAAGGCGAATGCACTTCCGACAAGCAATTTCGTACCCCTCTCCAACTTCATGCACGCCAGGCGGGACCCGATACCGATAGGGACACGACCTAACGTTGCACCCCTTCCGAAGGCAAACTCCACACACGACGTCCTCCAGCTCTAGGCTCGCCACACACTCATCCAAATCTTCTTCTTTCTCTGCGTGTTCCTCTTTCAAGTCTTCGTCTTCTTCTTCTGATGATGATGACGATGAGTCACTCATCAAGTCTTTTTCTTCTTTCTTCTCACATGCATCATCATCTAATTTTGTTTGCATAAACATCCACATGCAAATTAATGACATTAGGGAACATACGTGCAGATCAAACTCAAACCTTTATGTTAATTATAAGTTGTACAGATGCAACTCAGACATGTGAATTACAAATAAACCTTTGAAGAAACTCAGAAATGTGAATTACAAATAAAGAAACCCTTGAAGAAACTCAGACATGTGAATCACAAATAATTGTCAAAAAACCCTTTGGCCCCGTTTGGTATACGGAATTCAAACTATGGAATTGGAATTGAAGACTTCAATTCCAATTCTGGTGTTTGGTAGCACATAAATTATGTAGATTTGGAATTGATAATGCAAAAAATGAATTGGAATTGGTGAATTCAATTCTATGGAATTGAATCTCATGGAATTTCAATTCCAATTCAATTCTAATTCCATCAATTCCGTATACCAAACGGACCCTTTGAGAAAAAGAAGAAAAACAGACATGTGAATTACAGATAATCGTCAAAGAAACCATTGAAACTCAGGCATGTGAATCACAAACAATCATCAAAAAAACTCTTGAAACTGAATTGCAAATAATAGTCAAAGAAACCCATGAAAGGACAGAAAGAAAGAAAGAAAGAAAGAAAACATGCCTAAATCTAGGTGTTTTGCTAATTCTGTTTCCGGAAATTGCAAATCACATCAGAGATTTACAAATGGAAGCAATATGTGTTTGGTGCAATCGGATCAGAAATTTACAAATAGGTAGTAATATTCATCATCAACCCTAAAGAAATAAAGGAAGAACAACACACCGTACCTTGCTGCTTCGCCAGTATCCGCTTTTCCAGATCCCAGAGACGCTGGAACACCGTGTCACTGGGCTGATTACCATCTGTGCGCCGCCGCCGGTCCATGATATTGATGACGGTTGTGAGGGATGAGGAAGTCAGCTGTTACTCGTTACCTTTTCTCTAACAATTAAAATAAGAAATCCGCCCCGCCCCAACTCCTGCCACATTAGCATTTCATTAATTTTTCACCATACTAATCTCAATTTCTTATTTCAGCAACATTTACAGAAATTGCTGCGGATTGGTGCAGGTTTCAGCTGCATTACTTTAGCTATGTTAGTAGAGTAAAATGTAGTTTGATTTGTGGCTGTTTTGGCTTGTATGTTGTGTGAATGGTGATTATAATTGTGCTTGCGGATAAAAAATAATACTCCCTCCGTCCCATATCTTTCTTCTCACTTTCCTTTTTTAGCCGTCCCACTTGATTCTTCCCATTTCCTTAAATGGAATTAAAATGTATGTATAGTTACCAATTTGCCCTTTCTTCATTTATTCTTTCTCTCCACACTTCTCTTTCTTTTTCCTTTGTTCTCGGTCAAACCCCCAACCCCAATCTTTTTTTCTTCTTTTTCCTTGTTCTTCTGTTCTTCCATTTCTTTTTCTTTTTCAATGTTTACCTTCTTCAGATACTCCCCACTCCCCAGTCCGCACCCCTTCTTCTTCGTCTTCCTCAACCCCCACCCCACCTTACATGTTCTTCTTCGGCACCCCCTTCTTCTTCGGTACCACCCAAACGATTCAGATCTAGATTTTCGTTCCTCCATCATCTAGATCCATAGTCTGCCCCTTTCCCAATGAAAAAAGTTTTGATTTTATTTTGATTTTGGCAAGATCCAAGGGAAAAACTTAAAGATCCCATCCATCTTCCTCAGGTGACGAGGTGATGGAATTTTTAGCAGCACGGGTGGGTTTAAAATAGATCTCTCCTCATCTCTTTTATTTTTCTTCAATTTAATTATGTCTTGATTTTGTGCCCAATCTCGTCATCACCGGAGATGGCAGCGATGGGGTGGGTTTGAGAAGAACATCACAAGGACGAGGTGGATTTGAGAGAGGATAACAGATAGAATAAATGAAAAAACAAAAGGGCAAATGTGGAAAGTCAAGGAAAAGTTAGCACTACATTAAAAACCGTGCCAAGTCAAACTGAGAAGTTTCAACTGGGACGGAGGGAGTACAATAACAAAAAAGACTTCTTCGATGCTTAAAACGAGACAATGATAGATTCACAAAACATATACCCTTTTCTAAAAAGTCATGTGCCAAATTCATATCATACCACAAACGCGATATGAATGCAGACAATTGTATTATTGACTTCCTTCAATTGTATCTGAGTTTCTAGTGTTTCTCTGCGTGATTGAATTGAATTCCTGGAGAAGAAAACCCGCCAGTCATTATACAAATTTGTTAGGCTTTCACTCTGTTCCCAAAGCAACAAATGAATGTGAATTACAAATAAACAAACCCTTGAAGAATCTCATACATGTGAATCACAAATAATTGTCAAAAAACCCTTGGAGAAGAAGAAGAAACTCATACATGTGAATCACAAATAATTGTCAATAAAACCCTTGGAAAGAAGAAGAAGCTCAGACATGTGAATTACAAATAATCGTCAAAGAAACCATTGAAACTCAAGCATGTGAATCACAAACAATCATCAAACAAGCTCTTGAAACTGAATTGCAAATTATAGTCAAAGAAACCCATGACAGGACAAAAAGAAAGAAAAAAACATGCCTAAATCTAGGTGTTTTGTTAATTCCGTTTCCGGAAATAGCAAATCAGACCAGAGGTTTACAAATGGAAGCAATGTGTTTGGTGCAATCGGATCAGAGATTTACAAATAGGGAGTAATATTCATCATCAACTGTTGAGAAATAAAGAAAGAACTACACATCGTACCTTGCTGCTTCGCCAGTATCCGCTTTTCCAGATCCCGAAATGCTGGAACACCGTGTCACAGGTTTCTGTACGCCGCTTTTCCCGATCCCGGATACGGATAATAACTGTTTTTAACAAATGCAGATATTTTTCGTATAAACGGATACGGATCCGGACGGTAATTGAATTTTCGATTATCCATTTACACCCTAACAACATTTGTTTTGGTAAGAGATTTTTTTTCTCTCTCATCTTCTTCCACTGTTGGGATTTTGATTAATCTTTACAAAGTAGTGTTCCTTCCTTTCAATATGAGGTTAGACTGCCACTTTCACTATCAAAGCTCCACCACCATTTTCTAGACAAGGATCCTTGTCACTCCTTTGAAAAGTCTTCCACAATCATGTCGTTTTCCTTCTCCATTCTTCTGCCAACTTCCTTTTCCTTTTACTTAATTGTTAAGTTTAGCATGTGGGTCCTCTATTTGGAGGGACCCACCTCAACAATTCTTTACATTTTTTATCCTATTTCCCAAAATCAAAGAATTTGTTATTAAGTGGTATTTGAGGCTAAATTGATCCTTTTTTGTATTAAAATGTTATAGCTATGTTGGTTTTGCAGTTCTCCCAGAAACTTTCAAATGTGGAGTATTGTATTCTGATGGGGTTGGATCATCCCATGGTCATGGGCAGGGGACCAAAAGGAAGCTCTGCGGTTTACTGAAAGTTTGGAGCGAGCAATTGCCATGTGCAACAATAACAAAGTCTGGGAAGCCATAAAGACTACGGCGGCCACCGAGTTGGGCAAGACCTATTTCAGACAAGGTGTTCAGTCTTTCATAGTCACATTTGAGTCTACAATAAGTTCCTTCAAATTTTTATTTCATTTCAACACACATAATACATTGTTTAATGTTCAATATCCATAGCTCTTAATTGCAGTGCTCGTTCCTCAACAAATTAGCTATATGACAAAAATTGATGTCTAATTAATAGTAGTATAGGAATAACCATATGCTCCATCCATGTTTAATTTGCAAACATTGGTTGTCTATTGATGCTACGTGCATTTTGACCATCTCTCCTTATGTCCATTAATTCAGGGTCGCAAGTGTTGTTGCAAGCGCAAAAGAACATCTAGAATGAAAAAGTTAAATACAGGTGTCTACACGTTGGGAAGTGGTTCACACGATGCCCTCGAGCACCTTGCCACCTCATTCACAACCAACCAAGATTCCATTCAACCGGACGAAGAGATTGGGTGGATGTTTGAGGGCTTTGATATTAATGAAGGGTTGGATAGCGTGCGAAGAAAGGTCTTAAGCTTGTAAGAAGTTGCGCTTCATGATCCATTTAGTGGTACCCCATTTAAAGGTGTGTTCTTTAGAACCGAAGTGCATATATTAATCATCAATAAATATGTAAACAATCATATTGAAATCGTTCATTCAAAACAATAAGGCGAACTTATTAATACAGATCAACTTCCCGTGTGGAGGAAGTTGATTAAAACTTAGAAGTACTTTAATGACATGCCTAATATTAACATTTGATGTACTGGAAAAGTTTATTTGTATTAATTAGTTTGTCTTATTGTTTTGGTTGAACGGCTTCAATATGATTGTTTATATGTTTAATAATGATTAATATAGTGCACTTTGGTTTCAAAAACACGCCTTTAAACAAGGTACCACTAAATGGATCATGAAGCACAGTTTCTTGCAAGCTTAAGAAAGTCTTTCTTTGCACGCTATCTAGACCTTCACTAATATCAAAGTCCTCAAGCATCCACCCAACCTCTTTGTCCGATTGAATGGAATCTTGGTTGGTTGTGAATGAGGTAGCAAGGTGCTTAATGGCATCGTGTGAACCACTTCCCTACATGTAGACACCTGGATTTAACTTCTTCATTCCGGAAGTTCTTTTGGGCTTGCAACGACACTTGCGGCCATGAATTGATGGACATCCAGAGAGATGGTCGAAATGCACGTATCATTGATAGGCAACCAATGTCTGCAAAATAAACATGGACTGAGCATATGGTTATTCTTATATAACTATTAATTAAGCATTTGTTTTTTTGTCATAGAGCTAATTTATGGAGGAATGAGCACTGCAAATAAAAGCAATTAAGAGCTGTGGATATTGAACATTAAACAATGAATAATTATTGAAATGAAATAAAGAATTAAAAGAGACTTACTGTAAACTCAAGTGTGACTATAAAAAACTGAACAACTTGTTTGAAATAGGTCTTGCCCAACTTGGTGACCATCGTAGTCTCTATAGCTGCCCAGAATTTTGTTATTGTTGCACATGGCAACTGCTGGCTCCAAACTTTCAATAAACTGCGGAGCTTCTTTTTTGTCCCTTGCCAATGACCAAAGTGCATGAGGTGATCCAACTCCCTCAGAATACAATACTCCAAATTTGGAAGTTTCTGGGAGAACTATAAAGCCAACATAGCTATAACGTTTTGATACAATAAAAGACCAATTTAGCCTCAAATAGTACTTAATAACAAAATTCTTTGATTTTGAGAAGTAGAATAAAAAATGCAAAGAATTGTTGAAGTAGGTTCCTCCAAATGGAGGCCCTACATGTTAAACTTAACAATTAAGTAAAGAAAAAAAAAGAAAAAAGAAAAAAGAAAAAGAAGTTGGCAGAAAAATGGAGAAGGAAAAAGACATAATTGTGGAAGTCTTTTCAAAAGAGTGGCATGGATTCTTATCTACAAAATGGCGGTGGAGCTTTGATAGTGAAAGTGGCGATCTAACCTCATCTATAAAAGAAGGAACATTACTTTGTGAAGATTAATCAACCCCAACAGTGGAAGAAGAGGAGAGAAAGAGAGAAAATCTCTTACCAAAACAAATGTTTTGACAGTTTTGTTTTGAAGAAAAATTGGGAGTGAGTGCTTAGGAAAAAAATCCTAAAAGAAAAAAGAGTGAGTAGTGTGTGCCTACGATTTGTAAGAGTAAAAGACTTTGAACACTAATACCTACTATTTGTAATAGTATAAAAAGATATACTCCCTCCGTCCCATTGTCTTTGTCCACTTACCTTTTAGCACACCATCCAATGCACTTCTCTAATCTATTTTATCTTGTAATTTGTATATTAAAAAATTATAAACATTATATATTAATAAACTATATGTTAAGACGAATCAAACAAGATCACACATGACTATTTTTAGGCTTATACATTGAGAGAATTTGATGAGTCAAAGTGCTTAGATGAACAGTTCCAAAAGTCAAAACTCGACAAAGACAATGGGACGGAGATAGTAGAAGTGTTTGCTTTGTGGACGTAGCCCAAAATTTTTTGAGTGAACCACGTTAAACCTTTGGTGCCCTACTTTGCTTTATATTTTTACCTCCTAATTTTATTATTTTCCACTGCACGACCCCAACAAGTGATATTGGAGCCATGTCCAACCTTGGGGCAATGGAGGTGAGGGCGAGCAAAATGCTGAATCTGAATAGTTTGAACTACCATATCTGGAGGAGCAAGATGAAAGATCTTTTCATGGTCACCAAGATGCACTTGCCGGTATTTGCTACCGTCAAACCAGAAGAGGTGTGTGACGAAGATTGGGAGTTCGAGCATGAACGACGAGTTTGCGGTTATTTTTGACAATTTGTCAATGATAACATCTACAATCATATTTGTAACGAAACTCGTGCTTGGACTCTATGGAACAAGCTCGAGTAGTTGTATGCTTCAAAGACCGGCTACAACAAGCTATTTAACTTGACACAATTGATGCAAGTAAAATATGAAAAAAACACTTTTGTAGCTGATCACTTAAACACTATAGAAGGGATCGTGGATCTGCTATCAAACATGTGCAAAACATTTGATGATGAGGTAATTGCTCTTATGATTTTAGCTTCTCTACTACAGTCATGGAGACTCTGAAGGTGTCTTTGACAAATCCTGCACCCAATGGTGTAGTAAGTCTGGACATTGTTAAGAGTGTCACAATCTGACCAAAAAAGACAAACTGTGGCAACCTTTTAGGGACAAAGGGAGTATTTATTCACATTATTTTTTTCATTCCAACTAGATTTATTGCACAAGAAGATTATTTTTCAATATTTTTTAAAAAAAATTAATGAAATGTCTGTGTATGTATAACGAATACTGAAAAAATGACTCTTTTATCCCCCATTGGCAATGGATGCTAAAATTCTATCTCTAATACTCCATATATTTTATTTGTTACATGAAAAGTACATGTTGGTCTCTCTTCTGAATTGAAATAGGTAACGGTTGTGACTGATCATGCCTTTTGGTAATGACAAAGTAATACAATTTTTTTAGTTTGAAATCTCGAATATAGAGTAATTCATGGGATAGTCAAATTTATCTAGAATCTCAAAAAAATATGAAAATTTTAAATTAAATTTAAGAAGGAAGATATATATATATATATATATATATATATAACAGAATCAAAATTGAGTAAACTTCTATCCAATTTTCACTCAATCCTACAGTACAATTTCATTTGCAATTGGCAAAATCTAGCCGTCAATTACTAATGCTAAATGTGGTCAGAATTAGATGGCGATTCTTTACAAAAGACATTTGCACTATGTTTGGCTCAAGGATTTTGGAAGGAAAAGAAAAGAAAATGGTTCTCTCATTTTCCTCACCAAAATGGAAGGAATTTGATTTTCCCTCCACTTGGTACATTTTGCCTCCTCATTTTCTTTTCCTTCCACTTTTCCTTTCTTTTGCCCTCTAACCAATCTTTTGCCCTCTAACCAAATAAGAAAAATACTATAGTTTTCTACTTCATTTTCTTTTCTTTTCCCTTTCAAATTCCTTGAACCAAGCTGCAGTTTTCATATCTTCATTCTACGCCAACCCAACCATCTCCCTCCAGTCCTCCATCCTCATAGCCGTCAATTGACAGTATTGCGAATGGAGTCGACTAGGGTTTTCGATTATTTTTTTAGAATTAAAGGTTTCGACATAAACATGAAAACATAGATCTTAAACTCATTCCAAAAATCAAACGAAAACGAAGAGAAAGCTCCGGAAGATCCGGTGCCCCTAGAAGAGTTTTACCTGCGGTTGTTTCTTAGATTCCAGTGGCCGCTGCCGATTGAAAGTGCCGTGCAGCCTTGTGCTCTCAGGCGCGTTCTGTCCTTGAAGATGAATCAGGTTAATACCCTAGATCCTAACAAGATGAATCGGTCCTAGCCGTTACAGCTTGTGGAAGATGTAGAAGGTGGAGGACACACTTGCATGAGTTCAATCAATTGCTCATCATCTTTCACGCCATTGGAGAAATCACAATCACACGGCCTTGAAATTCCGGCAAAGCACAGGCGAATATCTGGCGGCGGCGGGGCTTCTCTGGTCGCGTAGCGAAAAACAACGGAGGGAGTGAATTTTGTTCAGCCTTTTCCTTGGTAGATCGTGCGTGAAGAAGAATATCGATGATGGTGATGACTCCGTCTGATTCCTTGGCGACGAGAAAGGGCCGAGAGGAATATGTGGCCCTCTACCTTTCCAGTATATAAAGATAAGGTGAGTTGGCTTTGGGCTACCTAAATGGGGTGGGCTTAGGACTTTGCTTGGTACTCCATGTATTAGTTCTCTTATTATCTATTACTCTCTTCCTCCATAAATAAAATTCTTAGTTTTTCTGTTTGTTCGTCCAAAAATAATCTTCTCATTTCTCTCTTCTTCTTCTCTCTTCTCTTATCTTCTTTCTTCTTCTTCTTTTACTTCTTTCTTCTCCTTTGCTCTTCTGATTTTTTCTGTAAATTTAGAGCAGCGAATCGCGGAGTAAAGGTGAGGCAGTGAGGCGGTGGCGGTGGTCAGAGGTAAAAGGGCGGTCCGATCTTCTCTTATTCTTCTTCAATTCCCGGTCCAATGCCCAGTCCATCTTCAACTCTTCTTCTTTCTTTTCTTCTTTCTTCTCCATCTCCATCAGATCTGAGAATTTCGATTCAGATCCGAGGTCAGCGTCAACAAAGAAATCGGCGGTGGTGGCTGAGTACAGGCGCTGATTGAAGGAGTAGGCATAGGTGACGGCGAGCAATGAGGCACTGATTGGATCGGAATAGGTGACGTCCGTCGGTGATAATGGCAGAGCGGCAAGGAGATTCAGCCTTATTTGGGGGGGCATCCGATTGCAGAGACAGAATAAAATGGGTGGACAAGATCGAAAAGAGGATAAGGGATAGGGATGAAGGGTATTTTCGGAAAGTAAATTTCATGTTTTATTAAACTCTGTGTCAAGTTAAAGTGAGAACTTTAATCTTGGACGGAGGGAGTATTATTATTAAATATTTAATTATTATTTTATTAAATTCTTTTATTAACACAAATGGAACGTCTATTTCGCTCATGATTTTACACAAAATTCCAAATTTGAGAAACCATATGTCGTTGGTCACGTTTTTACGAAATCTATCAAAACATCCAAAATTCATTAGTATATTATGTTTGCGTCGTACTTGTATGTTATTCGTTTTCATATAATATTTTCGTTTTTGGGACGGTCAAACTCTTAACTTTCGCAACTCAAATTCGCTAGCGAAATATGCCATTGAAGTCGTCTCGTCAAGACCTTTAATTTGAATAAAAATTTGTTTATAAAAGTTAAGTTTAAAAATAACTTGTTTTAGTATCGTCGTTATAAATTTAATTTTATTTAAATAAAAATTAGAATTCTTTATTGTAAATTTATTATAACTTTTAAGATATATTTTAGGGCGTTACATTTTTCTCTCCTCTTAAAGAAATTTCATCCCCGAAATTCTTCTAAGAAACAGAGTTAGATAACTAGCTACATTTCAATATTTCTTTAATCGATATATGTAGTTTTTTTCGCAAAAGGGATAATATCATTCATTGATCAAAATACTTTTCTATTTCATATTTTTTTGCAAATTCAAACATTATACATTTATGCCCCTTGTTGCACCAACTTTTTTGAAAGGTAAGCAACTTATTTTAAACACTTGAATACCAAAATAGGGAGTACTATTTTTTTCAACAAGGTACTTTTCTTTGTTTTACAAGAATTATCGTTAACCTCTTTTTTTTTTATAAGAAAAACACATTTCTCCCTTTTTTATATATTACTTATATTGTCAATTTCATCTAGGTTTGCAGCTCCTTCTAAATTTAGTTGTTATTCATGTGATCAACGAAACAAATGATAAAATATTTTAATAAAATATTTTTTCCTGTTTATGTATATATATTTTTAAGACCCCTTTTTTTTCTTCCGTTTGATTCACCAAACCACATAAATTGAATAATCAAACTCCTTTTTTTTGAGTAAGCAATTATTAAGAAATCATAAATCTCAAAATAACCAATTGTTAGTTTTTTTACAACAATATACTTGTGCTCAAATGTAAGTTAGCTTTAGTTATATATTTTATATACAAACAATATTAATGAAATATATTTTTAAACGCTAACCTAGTTAACTATGTAAAAGTTTAACAAACTTTTAATTGAAAACAATGTTTAGAAAAAACTCCTTATGTGACTACTTTTTAAGCATAAATATACAAATATTTTATCTCTATGTTACGGTTATATTTTAGAATATTCTATTCTAAATTACATTATGTCATTCGATACTTTAAAATATAAATATCTCAATATCAAAAGATTATAAAAAATTTCTTATTAGAAATTATATTTCATGTATGATTGTTTTTTTCAGTTTAAGAACAAATAATTTTTTCAAATAAAAAACATTCTTCATTTCATAAATAAACTATTTCCTCCACTCCCTAAGATCTCTGCGTTAATGAAAAGGAGTGGAGTATATCAAATAAGGTGGCTGAGATGTAATAAACAAAGTAAATGAGAGTAGTTGTGATATTTTAAATATTAAAAAGTTAATTAGAAGATATATGGTGGATAAATAAAAATGGGTAATCTTTAATGTTACAAATATACTTTGGTCCATAAAATAAACATGGACCTTAGACTCATGGAAGAATTTAACGATGAGAAGATCTATGAAGACGAATGGAGTATTAAATAAAAATACTATCGGTACCATGATATAAATATATACAAATTGAAATTTTTTATTGCTTATAAAATGCAGACTTATAAACATACGAAGTATAAATTGGTAAACTAAAGTATTACATATTTAGGGAACTAATGTTTAAGTTCTAATAAAAAAATCCTTTTGTCACACAATCTTGGAGATATTAGTAACTTAAAGGAATTTAAAGGAAAAAAAAGTTTTCATATATGAAGTGTTTCTTAGCAATAACTTTAAATCCAATTGATGGGTACATTCATCATTGACGTGTCAAAAAAGTTCCATGCAGACGTTCCACATGTTAAGCTCTGGTCATCTAAGTCTGAAATATTATATTAAAGCATGTCAGGTAGTGTTTCGTTAAACTTATTTTTTGTGCTTATTATCTATTCTTATTATAATCAGATCAGACCAGATCAGATTAGAAACAACTTTAATTATAACTGCATTTAAATCAGATCAGATTAGACCGGATCTTTAAATAATCAGATCAGGCGAACAGTACGCAGCCTTAGCCAAGCGAGTTGAAGAAAATAATAAAAGTATACAAAGGGTCCAAGGCCAAAATAAATTCTAGCTCAAATGCACATTTCCTAAATTCTGACCCGTTTTCCCAATTTTCCAAGGGGTCATGCTACACTTACACCAAAAATTATACTCCATTTGTACACCGTAGTTATACACAAACATTTTGACGGTTTACACCGACACAAGTGTTGGTGCGTTAACAAGAATTTATACCAACACAAAGTATTGGTGCGTTAACAAAAATTAGTTTTACACCAACATAAAATATAGGTGCAAACCTGCAGTGTAAAAAAATAGGGTACAAAAGTTTGTAGGTACATGTTTTTCAAAGTCCATTTCGTTTTCTCACAATGAGCCCAATTTCGATTGGACCCGGATTTTGTTTAGTGGGAGCGGGTCAGGTCGGTCTAAAATATCATCCCGTCTTCTGATTATGAAACTCTCAACAGCGATCGATCATCTCCGCCATGGCTACCAAGCTTGTGATGAGGCGTCACCAAACGCTAATCAACCTCTTCCAGACTCGACTTCACCGTATGGGAAACGCTATATCTACTCACTCTCCTCCATTCGAGAGATGCCAGTCCCTCCTTCAGTCGCGGCGTTATTCAGAAACTTCTCAGGAAACGACATTCGATCCTTCATCGGCCTCATCCAATGCTAGATCTGTTTCCAGCTCTCTCAATGAATCTGAACTTGCCAAGTTCTCCGCCATTGCCGAAACCTGGTCAGTGATTTGTGTTTTTCTCTGACAATTTCGGCCTTCCTTTTTCTTTTCAGTATTGAACATCACTTACATTAGTAATTGTTCCGATGGACAATAGGTGGGACTCGGAAGGGCCATTTAAGCCACTGCATAAGATGAATCCCACAAGACTTGCTTTCATCAGGTCCACACTTTGTCGCCATTTCGGGTAAAATTCCCTAAATTCTTAGGGTGATTTTTGTTTAGGAGAAAAACTTAGTTTGTATGTTGAAATGCATTTGTATTTCTGTTTTGCTTAGTAAAGTTTTAAAATTTAAGATAGGTTTGTATGGACTTGAACCTCATCAAGAGGCTTTATTGGTATCCAAAATAATGACATAGAGTTCAATAGTAAAAAAGTTGCAATTTTTTGAATCTATTGAGTTTTTTTAATAAAGAAAAAATAACTATTCTGTTGTAAATCTAACCACTGTTTAATGTCCTCACTTTTCACATTCAAACATGAATTTATTCCGTTACTGTGAGTGGTGTTTTTTATTTTCAATGTACTCCCTCTGTCTTCAGTTAATCTTCCCATTTTGATTAGAGAAAAGAGAAAGACTGTGGACCATATATTCTTTATTTTATAAGGAAAGTAAAGAAGTGAGATAATTATTTTTGGACGGACTAAAAAGAAAAGTGAGACTATTAATTCGGGAGGAAGGGAGTACATTTTAACTCTTTGGAGTCTGAATGTATTTAGACTGGTTGAACTCTTCTTTTTCTTAGTTAACATAAATATATCAGCTTTAAGCTTGCATTTAGATTCATGAGCTCATATGCCTTTCCCGCATTTGATACATGCATTTTCTGTCTAGGACAAGTGCATCTGTTTATCTTTTGCTTTAAATTTATTTTTCATATCATTCTGAGTGTAAACTTTCATCAAAGGTAGACTCATGTTTGCTTTGATATCGGCATTTGGCTTATACTTCCAAATATTGTACAGTGTGTGTGTGGATCAATAACTGCAATGAATCAAGAATTTTCTGTGTCTAGAGATCATTCTGTTGCTCTTGATCTTAGCCCATTGGTAAAAAATGGTGCCTGTTTTTATGAATTTCATTAGGGCAATGACTAATGACAGCTAAGTAAATGTTTTCAGGAAGGATCCTTATTCTCCCAAACCTTTTGAAGGACTCAAGTTTGTGGATGTTGGGTGTGGAGGTGGGATTTTATCTGAGGTATACCTTCTACTGAAAGTTCTGACAAGTTACAAGTATGCAACATGATGAATGCCAACAATAGCATTCTCCATTCCAGCTAATTGAGTACTCCATATTTCTTTATCACGGAGTACAGAGTATTAAAAAGTTCATATTGTGGTTTGATATCATTCCTATTGACAATCTGGTGAAAATAGTGGAGGACAGAGTATTTCTTTGTATGCATATATGCAACAACATCATATAAGTGAAATGTATGATGTCTTCTACTATTCGTAATTAATGCAGCCTCTTGCTCGAATGGGGGCTACTGTAATGGGAATTGATGCTGTTGATAAGAACATCAAGATTGCACGCCTCCATGCGGTGTGTTTAAACTTTATATCATCCATCACACTTGTTTATTGTTGTATGATGACATGATCAAGTGTGCAAATACTTAATTACCTGGGATTATTTTAGATATAATGAAAATTTGATTGTCAATGACATCATTTTTTTCCTTCAGGATCTGGATCCAACAACTTCATCAATTGACTATCGTTGCACAACCGCTGGTATGTTTAGTAAAAGTTTTCTCAGCCTATATTTTATTTTTTGGTTTGTGCTTGTTCATAATATCGGATGTTAACCAATGGACTCCCCCAAGACGCTTCATAAGAAGGTTTCTTTTTAAACAAAAAGTTGCAGCTACTAGTTTAGAGTAGTTGCTATATGATGACCTGATTATTTATCTTTTATTTCCTCAATCAAGACACTTATGCCATGATATAAATAAAGAGAAAAAATGTTAGCCAAACTTCTGAAGTAGAGGCTAATTAACATAACTATTTTGTGTGCTTTCATGTTTTGTTACAGTATATGTCCTCCAATTACCACAACATATGTAGCATTGCTTATTGAATTGTATAGCTAATAGTTTCATTTTGTCAAATCTAGGACAGTAGTTTTCTAAGCATGCAGCCTGCTTATGTTTTGTTTCACTCCTTGTCCTTATATGGCAATTTTGTTGAAGCTGATGTGTGTGATATATTTGGATCTGCCACTAAATCTTTGTTTGATCATTTTCTACATTTATGATTTTTTAAAGATTGGATTAGTCGCATATGTATCTCATTTTTCTATTTAAACCCTTATACTAGTCAAACCACCCAAGTGTGTATATCTTCAGAAGGTGACGTAATTGCCAATTATGTGGCCAGAAAATTTGGTGGAAGAACAGAGGCAGTTTGATGCTGTAATTGCTCTAGAGGTATGCTTACAAACCATAATAACTTTATAGATAGGAACTTTTTAGACTAGAACATAAAGAGGGAATCATATGCATTCATTCCTTTAGCCCCAATTGTATATTTGATGTAGTTTTTACTTTTTTTTTTCTTCTCTTTTTCATTGGCATTTTTGTGAACCAGGTGATAGAACATGTAGCTGATCCTGCTGACTTCTGCAAATCCTTATCAGAGTTGACAGTTGATAATGGTGCTACAGTGATATCAACAATTAATCGTTCAATGAGGGCTTATGCAACTGCCATCGTTGCAGCCGAGTATATCTTACATTGGGTATGTGGTTTTTAGTCCTTTAAGACCTTAAGTTCCCCATCTGTGTTGTTTTATCTTAACTTCTTGTATCTGTCTAACTCCAGGTAGAGGGGTCATTCTATTTTCCTTCATATTTTTTCTATCATCAATCATCATCATCATCATTATCAACACAATAATCCCAACTATTTTCCTTTAAGACCTTAAGTTCCCCATCTTTGTTGTTTTATCTTAACTTCTTGTATCTGTCTAACTCCGGATGGGGGTCATTCTATTTTCCTTCATATTTCTATCATCATCATCATCATCATCATCATCATCATCATTATCAACACAATAATCCCAACTAGTTGGGATCCATGACATTGAATTTATAGTGCCAATTAATTGTATAAAATTAAGTAATTAAATAAGTTCATGCAAAAATAAAAAGCTAAGTGACAATGTTATAAGCTCTGGACCAAATTCACGTCACCAATTTCATTAAAAAAAACAAAGAGATAAAATTTTTAAAATTGTCGCCAACTCATCATCCTAGGTTAAAATCTGCTGAATTTCCTAAATCAATTGTTTTCTTTGTCCCGCTATTTTTGTCCCATTTGGGTTTACAACGTTTGATTGGAATTTTTTTAAAATAGAATTTATCTAAATATTGTGTAAAATTTAACAATAAAAATTATATATTTAAAAACTACATCAAAAGTTCTATAAAAGAAGAGGTGACACGACTATTATTTCAACAAATAGATGAAAATATGTAACAAATATTTAGTTTGACCCTATCAATAGTGGATGCGTCAAAAATAGTGGGAGAGATGGAGTAAATAAAATGATGTCTAATGTGAAGGTTGAAACTTCTTTTTCTTTAATTTCAACAATGTAAAATCACCTCATTGTTATCTGGTGAATTTCACTTTGCTAGAATCCTAGAAGAGATCATGTTCTCTATAGTCTATAGTCTCTATACGTACAAATAAATACAAAGATTGCGGTAATTATTGTGAATGCCATTTCGTAGCTTCCTAAAGGTACTCATCAGTGGTCAAGCTTTCTTACACCAGAAGAACTGGTTCTTATTCTTCAGCGCTGCTCTATTTCGGTAAGTCAAGAACATATTCATTGGGGTTAACAATTTCAGCATTATTGTTCACATACGCCGTTCCCTTTTCACTGTCCCTTTGCTTTTAGGTCCAAGAGATGGGTGGCTTTACGTACAACCCTCTAAAGGAGCGTTGGTCAATATCGGATGATATTGGCGTGAATTTTATCGCGTGTGGCACCAAAAACCCTCTCGAAAATATAGAGAAGAAAATCCAAATTGTGTAGTTGAAACTGTGAGAGGGAAAAGTAACCTTATTTAGTGAGGTATATAATGATGATTTTGCAGGATTGGTTGAAACCTCTTGTGGTGTTCATCTTGTGTGTTACTCTCATCCTGGATGTTGTTCCTGTGATTTTTTTATATGAAAATTTCATCGTATTATTTTGTTGAACCAAAGCCAAGCTTATACCTATATTAATTTTCGATCATATTTTATGTTAAATTGAGAACTAAAAATGTAATTGTACATTGAATTTAAATCTGGCTATGTATTTTGATGTCTTATTTATTAACAACGCTATAACAACAATGGTTGCGACTCCAATGGATAAATGAATACATCAATAGCGTCACTTGATATTAGCTATAGCAAGGATTTATGGTTATTGCAATATTATATGTTTAACACTAACATGATGGAAAGTCAAGAAAAAAATACTTGTGAGAAGAAAACTTTAATTTTTAATGATGAAAAACTAAATATGAAAAATCTCATATTTTAAAAAATTAATTATAGATTTCATTATATTTAAAGTTACATCTAGAATTTTACAAAACATGTTCTTCCCTTTGTTTCAATTTATTTGTCTATTTCAATTCATAATATTTAACTAAACTTATTTTTAATTTACTATATGAATTTAGTGTTAAATTTTAAAATTAAATTTTTATATTTAAAATTTTAATTCCTCTATCTTAATTTATATTGCTAGTTTAAGTTTACAATGTTGACTGAAATTATTTTTCAAATTAATTTATATGAAAAATAGTACGGAGTATAGAATTAAAAAATAAAATTGCTTATTTAAAAACTACATAAAAAGATCTAGAAAACTAATGATAACACAACAATATTATTTTATTAAATGACTAACAAAAATAAAAAAAAGTAAATAAAAAGTAAATAAAAAAAGTGAATAGAGGAAGTATCTAAAATTCTAATCGTATAAAACAAGTCACATGAATACCAAAAATGAGTAATGAAAGTTGTTAAAATTTGACGTTGTAAATAGTGAACATACAGTTCAAATTGAGATAAAAAAATACTCTGCATTTTAACAAATGATGCATGAAAACATGTAAAGAAAAAAGATTTAGATTAACCCTCTAAACAATAGATTCGACAAAAATAATGAGACTTTAGTTTTAAAAATGTAACTAGCTACTCCGTATTTGATGGTACACTCTCGACCTTTTTTATCTCTATTAAAAAAAAGCACGGAGTATATGGAAACTTAATTTCATGACCAAATCTCTGATTTAAAAAAATTATCTCAACATCTACTTATACCAAACAACCTTTGTAAAATGAAGTTTGGGATCCCAAATGAACTATTATTAAACTCAAATCTACTCAAAATCTATCGAATCAAAGTTTC